TACTTGGTTGAAGATGCTCTATTTGTTTACCCTACAGAATATCTTTGCATCTGGTGACATTATGTTAACAACATGATCTATAATATTGAAAATATCAGTTGTACCAGTATATTGGAAGATATTCTTAAAACAAGTGAGGCAGCATTAAGTCAAATTATGTCACACCGCTGGCTCTTTAATGCTCAACACATTCCCTTCTCTCCTGTTCTACTCTGCTATATTTCTGTCTGCTGCTCTTGTTTCGCGTCCCCACACAGAGCCCGGACTGTGCCTGCAGCTGGCTTTAAAGCAGCTGTCACCAGGGGTTCGGGTGGAGCCATGCAGCTCTGCCGTGCTGCAGTTTAGTGTGGAAGAAATTGGCCAGCTCGTCCCTCTCTTGCCCAACCCCTGTACCCCCATCAGCACCACACGCTGGCAGACAGAAGACCTGGATGGCAACAAGGTTCTCTTCCAGGTAAAAGCAGCATAAAATACACCTCGTTTCCTCATTTTATCCACTCATAAAAATGTGATGACAAAGTCGACAAAATGTGCACATGCTTCATGCTGTGGACAGCGTTCTGTTCCTTCTTTTTAATTGTGTGTTTTACATAACTGATGTGTTATGTGTATTTTAAGGTTTTTTAGTCTGTCGTGTTTAACATGTTAGATAATTATGAAGAGAGGAAAAGCTTCTCCTTGATTTATGGCAGGTTAAATCATGAAGTTAGTCATGCATCTGTGGTTGCGTCAGTCTGAAACAGCCCTACATTAACTATAAACACACAGCAGTCTGCTGGAAGGTTTACCCTATAATTAGCTCACAGCACACGGAGTCCAAAGAGCAGGATGTTTGTTGCCCTGCTGAAATGTTACTTGTAGAACTGGACATTTTTTACTCGATATGTAACTGTCCAGTTTCCTCAGTAGAGTTACACATTTGCTTTGGCGGGAAGCATCTGCAGTTGTTTGTGAAATAAAGGAATGTGTTGCCCTTCAGGGTTATGTTTATGTTTCATGTTATGTTTGACAAACTGATGATGATGATTTAACCTGGAATAAACAAAGGAGATGCTTTTCTTTCATTTACAATTATCTCACATTTAACAAAGAGACCTAAAATATATAAAAAAGAAACATGTAAGTTATTGTGCTCCATACAAAACATGATTTTGACAATGCAAATCACATTTTGTTATATTGTCCAAACACTTTAGTGTAAATATAATCAAAATAGACAAGTTTTTTCCTTCATAAGAAATAATAGAACATCTGTTGATGTATATAGAAATGGAGAAATAATACTTTCTGTCCAAAAGATTAGAGTCATTGTGAGGAGTTCATTTTGACTGAATTTGTAATGGTAATTAATGTGAACCAATTCAGATACTTTGTTATTTTAGAGGATTTTAGATTAGATTTATTTGTCCAATAAACAATTATGTACCAAATGATAATGAGTCTGTTGGGTGGAGACTCTCATATATGAATGGCTGCTTTTCTTCCCTTGTATCCCGAATCTTATTGATTGGTGCAGGTGACACATCTGGCAGGTTTAAAAAAACAAACAACAAAAAAAAGTGTTTAGCCCAAAGACTAGAATTCTTCAGGCTGTTCATTAGCTTTCAACTGCTGTTTAAATGATCTATTATGACTAGCCTCATAAGATGAAAAAGCATCTGTTTAACAATAAAATGCACGTCATGTCATTCTTCCTGTGATAATGAATTCAAAACGGCGTGTGGTTGCTGTCTCTTACAGAACCAACTCACAGCTGTCACTAGAGCCATATGTTAGATGCGTGTACGTTAATTCTGTCAAAGTTACTTAGGTTCCTTAAATCTCTGCAGCCCTGGTGTAAATCATAATCCCTCTCCTCCTGTCCTTCTGTGCTGCAGGTGAAAACCCCAGCTCAACCTCAGCGACCTCTGACCTGCGCTTTCCCCCTGACATGTCCCAGCGTGTCCCCTCGAGGAATGCAGCTCAGGAGCTCAGGCCACAGCCTGTCACCCTGCAGCTTCACAATGCCCCTGCCTTGGCAAACTCACAGGCAAAGTAAGTACACAGAAGTGAAAGTTTCACAGGGTTTGAGATGCTGTACTCTGCTCATTCTACAGTGGGTTAAATATGCTGCATTTGTTGGTACTTTCCACAAATGCATGAGGAGCTCGAGGGGAGAAGCAGCAAAACAGGACATTATACTGACTCAAATGGAATGATTTGACTCAACTCATGATGGTTTTATTTTTTATTTTCCCAACCTCACATATTGCCAGTGTATTAAACAACTGTTTCATGTGGGAGGCTTATTGTAATGATAATCATGATGAATCACAATGAATCAGAGACATGGAACGTTTGTCAAATAAGTGTGAAGTCCTAAATGTTTCCTGGGGAGATTTTGACCTCTAGTAGCGACATGGAGCACTTTTTAAATGAGTGGGTCCCCCGCTATATTTGTCTCACGCATCAGACTATTTCACTGATGTGGCGGTAACACACCAAGAAATGCAGCAATGTGGCACAAAGAAGACTGCTAGCAAGTCAACAACACAAATGTAAACTTTATTGTCTAATGTAAAAGCATTAAAGGATGGGATATATGATGGTATATTTTACAACTAATCACTTTTTTAAATAAAAAACAAGAAATAAAACACTAGTCTTATCCTGTAACACCATCTGCAAATCATCTGACCATAAGGTTCTGAAACTCTTTGAGACAGTTTGAGTTGACACTACGCAAAAAATAAACACTGAGCTGTTTTCATGTTCAGTGACATTTGAGTTTAGTACAATAGTACAAAGGTTTCTAATTGCCCAATTTTGTAATTCTGATATATGTGTCTTTGGTTGTTTATAGGCCACAGACCGCGCAGTGACCCTGTCCTGGAGAAGCTTTATGGAGGAGGTGGTGGAGCAGAGAGTCTGGGATCAGGAAGCTGCTGCAGCACCCCTCCAGGCAGCTCCTGTTACTCATCCCAGCGCAGCAGCCCTGCTCTGCCCTCAACCACCAATCACCCTGACTCTCCTCTGCGCCCCTCCATCACCCGTTCTCTCTCCCATCTCCTTCTGGAGGAGGAGGAGGAGGAAGCAGAGACCAACGTAGACACAGGAGTGCCCGTCTCACCTCGCTCTGACAAAGCAGTCAAAACAATTGCTCGCTCTTCCTCCATGGACCTTTTGATGACTCTCTGCTCTGAGAGACCTGCAGCTGTTGGGGCTTCTGCTGGTGAGGGACTGGCCAAGGAGCTGATTGAATGTCTGCCACAGACAAGCACACACCCTCAGGGCCCCTCCAAGACATGGGGCTCCGCTGGTTCTGCTGATACAACCAGGAAGGGCTGTGGCAGCAGGACTGTGGCAGCAGGACAAAGCCCCTCCAAAGGGGCCGTGGTGGAGAACAGAACTACTGCTGAGTTGCTGTCAGCACGCACAAACAAAGAGGAGCCAGTCGATGAGTTCTTCATCTAAATCGCTGCCACTGCGTCATGCTGTGGTAATGATCACAAGAGGAGAAACCCTTTAAGAGGATGATCTGAAGTCATGCAGGAGGACACAGGTGTGTAGTCTGACAAAGGGGCAGTGCTCTGGGATACAGAAGAAGCCAAAGTTCAGCTGCAGGTGAGACTCAGAAGTAAATTGGTGTCTGTATTTCCACAATATACAGTACCCACCTGCCAAGAGAATGGTTCAAGATGAGGCAGTGCAGGTAATAATAATAATATTTTGAAGGTTTCAATTACATTGCATTTAGATCCGTCCAACTAATGATTCGTGCAGCTATTGTGCTATAATATAGCCCTATAAAAAGCAAAACATGAAGGAAACGCTCTGTATTAAGCGTTACTATCAGGGTACTAGTGCCACTCTGGGTTTCTGTATGTTGTATGTGTGGGTTTAATTGCCTTTGAAAGAGAAAAAAGATGATCTCCGTGTGAAGTCGCTCTCTGATGTCACTGATTTCGTCCAGTTGCTCTCCACAGTGCAGCACTGTCAGTCTGTGTTACAGGTATGAAACCTTCACATAGTAAAAGTATAGCCTAGTGGCTTTTGATTACATTTGTTTAAATGCACTTGAAAGGATCCTTGTTTAACACATTTTAAATTTTGTGTGTTAAAATGTATGTAAGTGGTGGACTAGACCGGGCCAAATTACTGCATTGAAGAGGACTGAAATTTGTCACATAATTCTTTTTTTTCTTCAGATAGCCTAAACCAGATGTTCTAAATAACTACTTAAAGAGATCATTAGGGCATTTTTTTGTATTTTTTTTTATATTTATTTTATTTTTTTTTTTAATAATAATAATGTAGTCATTAGAATGTAAGGTGTTTCAAACAACCCAAATGGGTCCTGAGACCTCAGAAATGTTAATTACTGTAAGTAATGCCACAGTAAGCTGAGAGATCAGCAGACAGATTAACTTAAGTGAAAATTAAAAAATTAAAATTAGCAAGTTTACCATATATTGGACTTACCAGTTACAGATGTTAGTCAAATCCACAACATTTTTGCACTGTGCTCATGATTTAATTTTAGTTACAGACTGATACAAATCTATATTTTTATTATGTGAGGGCAGTGAAAGGACACTGTCTTCCGCTCTGCTGACATTCTCCATCAGCAGTACATTTTGTAAAGTCGCCAAAAGTTAATGAGCAAACTCATGCAACACCATCCAGTAGACTAAAACATACAGTTATGGCGATGGACCTTCTAAATTTAACCCACTAACAGATAAACCTGAAATCTGTATTCACTTGTGTTTCTTTATGGCCAGTATTTGATAAAATGTATATGATTTAAGGTTATGAGCGGCTCCTGTTGGGCTGCTCACTGGCTGACAGGACACTGTGGGTTTGCAGGGCAGCTCAGAGGTGTGAATGTGTTGAACTGTTTACTGTAAATGGGCGTTACTGGAAAAAAAAAAAATGCTCAGTCAGAGAGCGTCAACTGTGAGGCTCCTTAGAAATGTCTTAATAAAAGTATTAAAATATACATGAATAAAACAGATTTCTGTTGTGGTCAGATTATACCGGCTACCTGTGTGTCCTGACGATGTTTTCACGTGACAAAAGGTTTCAATTATGTAATCAATTAGCGGTAGGATAAGTGTACTGAATAATCAGTGATCTACATATGCACTGACAGATGACTGCTCTGCCAGCAGTGATGGAAAAATCCCACGCAGAGAGAAAGAGAATACTCTGGTACCCGCCAGGATGTTTCCCCTGATTTTTAACCACACTGTTGTCAAACGGCTGTTGTGTTCTTTATGACAGAATATCATTTTTGGGTTGGATGTGGAAACATTCATGGTTACGGCTGCATCATTGTTCCTCTACAACAGTTTCTTAAAATGCATCACACTGTGAGCTTTGTGATAACATCCACCGTTCATTTGCAGCACAATATACGACACTGGCACTGATCATGCAGTCCAAACAGTTGGACCGCCATTTCACCCTGCTGTGCAAGATATGATTCAGAAGTGTGACTTGACATAACGCTGGGCACCTCGGGTAGTTAAGTGCTGTACTGGGAGTCAGTGATCAAGGTTCAGGGCCTTTCCTACTATAGCAAGCAATTAGGAGGGAACACACAATCACAGGCCAAAGTAAGTAACAGTTTTTTATACAATATGTTACATATTGCAGAAGAAATGGTAAATATATATTTGGTGTGCAAATACTACAAAAGAAAAGAAGATGGTTTTAACAGCAAATCTCCAACCAAAAAAAAAATGTTTTTCGTCTGCTGAGTGCCATCATTATCTAAACTGTGCTAATGAGGCTGTGAGTGCACATCCATATACAGTAATATCCATTGCTCTGCAGTATAAATACTATATGTGCTTCAAAATGTATAAGCCATGTTGGTTTATTTTAGTTGAATCCATTCATGGCATGAGTTTGCAACAAATGTGGGTTTAGGGTGAAAAAGTTAGAACACTTAAATTACAATACATCAACGAATTGCACTTTATCTAAAGCTTACAGCTCCCTCTGCTGGTCAAAGGATATTGTTGCTCTGAGGAGCGTTGCTGCAACCAGTCCATCTGAGATCCTTGGCCCACTGGCCCCCTCTGGTGACTTGCACCTTGACCGGGTCAAATCTCCAGAACCGCTGCTCTCTGAACAGGTAGAGACGCCCGTCTGGACGGGTCAGCGCCCCGTTGGTCCCCTGTGGCACACCAGTCCAGTCTTTCAGCCTGCGGGGGTAGTAGGGCTCTTGGCGCAGAGATTTTAGGTTAAGTACAGAGTAGCGGGAGCCCTTGAAGAGGACCATGTGACCAAGAGGAGCGTAATAGAAGGCGCAGTCTGGGTGGCGAGGCAGCCCCAACTCAGTGCTCCTCCTGGGGAAGCCGGGGTCCAGCACGCTGCCTGTGTAGCGCCACATCCGCTTCCCTGCACATCACGAGAAGAGGACAAAAACGTGAAGTTATACATCTGCAATAAAACAATTTCAGCTTCAAGAAATTTATTTTTTTATGTTTTAATAAAGCACAACCATGTTATATTTGATCACAGTAGCTTCATAAATGTATCCAGTATTTAACATTTCACATAACATCATAATGTTAACAGTATTTTCATCTCTTTAAGAGCAAATGGCCAAGTGAGTTTTAGCTGCAAAGTATTTTGGGGTTCAGTGTCTTGCAGAAATCTGCTGCTTTTGACAGCCAAGCGTGGACAGTGCCTCTTTTAGTTCACAGTCAATAAAGATGGAGATTATTTATGGAGTATAAATAATGTCTTAATAGAGCGTCTGTATTTTGCATAAAACTGTTCAGCACTTAGGTAGCAGGGTTTTGGTAGGAAGGTTAAACTTGGCAGTAACTTCAAATAAGTCATTAGCCTTTAGCACAAAGGTGACGCTACTTTAAAACTACAGCTGAGGCTTCAGTGCAGTATGGTCTTTAAATAGCACTTTCCTATTTAGAAGGGCACAATAGAATCTACTGAGGGGCGCTTTAACAGATAGGCTATGTGAAGTTAGGCAATAGGTTAGGGAATGTCTTTAAAAGGAAGTGCGAGTCACATTAATGAGCTCAGTGAAGCAGTACCTTTGAAAAAATACCACTTGGAGTCCAGTGGGGAGAACGCAGCAGCCTCGATGGCGATAGGGAGGTCTGACCAGCGCTGACGGAGAGGCAGCGGGCCGCTCACACTGCCTTCAGCTGACACTGTCCAGTACACACTGCCACGAAACACCAGCACTGTCTCATTCTGGTCTGGATACACAGAGAGGAAAAAGCAATCCGTCCCCAGAGAAAGTTCATTCATGACCTTGGAAACAGTAGTTTGACAAAACAGTTTTAACACGAGGTCCACTTGGTAGCTTTTACCAGAGATTTCAAACGCATCTCGCTGTCTTCATTTCAAGAAACTGTATATACAGTGGGTACGGAAAGTATTCAGACCCCTTTAAATTTTTCACTCTTTGTTTCATTGCAGCCATTTTCCAAAAATCAAAAAAGTTCATTTTATTTCTCAGTAATGTACACTCAGCACCCCATCTTGACAGAAAAAAACAGAAATGTAGAAATTTTTGCAAATTTATTAAAAAAGAAAAACTGAAATATCACATGGTCATAAGTATTCAGACCCTTTGCTCAGTATTTAGTAGAAGCACCCTTTTGATCTAATACAGCCATGAGTCGTTTTGGGAAAGATGGAACATGTTTTTCACATCTGGATTTGGGTATCCTCTGCCATTCCTCCTTGCAGATCCTCTCCAGTTCTGTCAGGTTGGATGGTAAACGTTGGTGGACAGCCATTTTCAGGTCTCTCCAGAGATGCTCAATTGGGTTTAAGTCAGGGCTCTGGCTGGGCCATTCAAGAACAGCCACGGAGTTGTTGTGAAGCCACTCCTTCGTTATTTTAGCGGTGTGCTTAGGCTCATTGTCTTGTTGGAAGGTAAACCTTCGGCCCAGTCTGAGGTCCAGAGCACTCTGGAAAAGGTTTTCGTCCAGGATATCCCTGTACTTGGCCGCATTCATCTTTCCCTCGATTGCAACCAGTCGTCCTGTCCCTGCAGCTGAAAAACACCCCCACAGCATGATGCTGCCACCACCATGCTTCACTGTTGAGACTGTATTGGACAGGTGATGAGCAGTGCCTGGTTTTCTCCACACATACTGCTTAGAATTAAGGCCAAAAAGTTCTATCTTGGTCTCATCAGACCAGAGGATCTTATTTATCACCATCTTGGAGTCCTTCAGGTGTTTTTTAGCAAACTCCATGCGGGCTTTCATGTGTCTTGCACGAGGAGAGGCTTCCGTCGGACCACTCTGCCATAAAGCCCCGACTGGTGGATTGCTGCAGTGATGGTTGACTTACTACAACTTTCTCCCATCTCCCGACTGCATCTCTGGAGCTCAGCCACAGTGACCTTTGGGTTCTTCTTTACCTCTCTCACCAAGGCTCTTCTCCCCCGATAGCTCAGTTTGGCCGGACGGCCAGCTCTAGGAAGGGTTCTGGTCGTCCCAAACGTCTTCCATTTGAGGATTATGGAGGCCACTGTGCTCTTAGGAACCTTAAGTGCAGCAGAAATGTTTTTGTAACCTTGGCCAGATCTGTGCCTTGCCACAATTCTGTCTCTGAGCTCTTCAGGCAGTTCCTTTGACCTCATGATTCTCATTTGCTCTGACATGCACTGTGAGCTGTAAGGTCTTATATAGACAGGTGTGTGGCTTTCCTAATCAAGTCCAATCAGTATAATCAAACACAGCTGGACTCAAATGAAGGTGTAGAACCATCTCAAGGATGATCAGAAGAAATAGACAGCACCTGAGTTAAATATGAGTGTCACGGCAAAGGGTCTGAATACTTATGACCATGTGATATTTCAGTTTTTCTTTTTTAATAAATTTGCAAAAATTTCTGCATTTCTGTTTTTTTCTGTCAAGATGGGGTGCTGAGTGTACATTACTGAGAAATAAAATGAACTTTTTTGATTTTTGGAAAATGGCTGCAATGAAACAAAGAGTGAAAAATTTAAAGGGGTCTGAATACTTTCCGTACCCACTGTATGTCTGATAGTTTTAAAGAAGTCACATTATGCTTAATTTTATGTTCATAATTTTATTTAGGGGTTGTACCCAGAATAGGTTTAGGCTACATGGTTTCAGTAGGTAAACACAGCTTCAGTTCAGTTGTACATGTTCCCGAACCAGCTTCGCAACCTAGACGTACATTTGTGAGATATGCAACTCATATAAAATTAAAAATGCACTCAAATCAAATGTGTGAATGTGTGTCTCACTTGCCTAGTGCAGTACTACAATTCGGCATTGGTTTGAAGTCCCTGCGTCACATGACTTGGAAGCTATTGAAAAAAAATGATGATTCTCCCATAACACTGTTTTCACAATTGTAATTTATTGATGGTCCCTAAGCTAACCCCCGTTGGTTAAAAGCAAGCCATCAGAGGTGAACTAACCGCATTTATACAACCGTCACTGGGTGAACTGACTAAAAAGCCGTCACTGGATCCTGGGTGAATGTCTGTCGAATATCCAACCAGAGTGACACAGATAGTTTACAGAAGTAAAGGCTGGACTACAGCTGAGCTGTTTTCAGGCAGTTCAGGGGCAGTGTTTTCTGTGGGAGATGGTAACTCCCTTAGGGGTGGCTTTTTCACTTTGCAAACCTATTAGCCTACATGCACAAAATAGATATATCACACAATAAAGGAGAGGGGAAAAGCATAATATGAACTCTTTGAAAGGAAAAACATGATGACAGGATTGTCTTCTCTTTCTGTAGGCTATTTTATTTTATTTGTCAGCTTTTTGAAGCCACGCCAGTAACCCCAGTCATGATGAATGTGGCTGAATGTTATACTTAAATAATATTTCATTTGGATCTCACCCATAGTGATGGCATCAAAGATACCCTGGCAGTAGAGGGGCTGCCCTGCGGTCTGATGCCCGTTGTGAAGCTCTGTGAACTCCCACTCCTGCAGCACAGCATGCAAAACCTGGCCGGGCAGCCTCACGGGCCGGTCACCTGGCGGCTTACCTGAGCGCAAAAACAAAGTAACAAAACAATGAACTGAAAGGCAGCAAGGCTGTGAGAGATGAATCTATAATCACTTTGAGTAAGCTGTAGTCTGTGCAGCTGTGCTTTACTTTCCCACGGATATTGTGGGAACTTACCACAATATGTCTTAAACCTACAGTGACCAAACTAAGCTTTGAGGACTTCAGTATCTAATTTCTCCTGCATTCCAAAAGCAATTTTATGTATTTTCTAAATTGGACGGCATGGGAACAAATGGAAAGACAAACAGTGGTGGCTTCTCTGAAAACATGATTTGGATGGTAACATTAAAAGTGTCCTATACAGGATGTGGCCTGGTTGATGTACACTGATGGATGGCATTATACTGCACAGGAAATAAACAAAGGACTCTAGATAGAGCACATACTGGAACCTTAAACAAACTTATTGGATGTTTAGCACACAACAAAAAGAGCCCACCTACTCTTTTTTTTGGCCTTGTAGAGCAGAGGTTAAATGATGGTGCTTTAAGACATAATTACAGCCATTTTGTTTGCAAGGAGCTGAACAAACTTTTGTGAAGGTGGTGGATACAATCAGCAAACCCAAGAACAGGAGGAAGACAGCAGGAAAAATAGACACATATACACCAGCATGGATATCTGGCTTCACTCAAAACACAAACCTCTCTCCCTTTTGCTGTAGTGTTTCCACTCAGTGGTGGAAAAGTATTCAGATCTTCAAGTACAAGTTAGAAATACTCCTGCACTCAAAATTGTAAGTATGTGAAGACTGTTAGAAAATGAGAAATGTGCTTACAATACTTAAAGTACTAACTATGCAGTATGATGTTCATTCTGTTATTGAAATTATTTTGTTGCAGCATTTTTATGTCGAGTTGAGCTCCTTTTGACAACCGTATATATATTTTGGCAAATTAATCTATAAAATAGATAAGATAATGTTTCAGACAGAGATATATTTTTGCTGTGGTCACTAATTCACAGGTGTGGTCTATCAATATCAGGTGGTATTTTGTACAAATGTAGAACGACTTCCGTATAATTTCACTTTAAACATAAGTGGCACATTGTTACTTTCGACCCCCGTCAGCTGGGACAAAAGTAACACAACAATACAAGCTAGATTTTTTGTGTTACCACCCTTGTATTTAATAAATAAACATGACTGTGACCTTGTTAATGTGTAACTGCAAACATCTTTTGTCCTTTATCTTAAAAGTTAACTTGCATTTTTATTTTAAATATTCAGTTTCAAAAGTAACTTGACAGCCCAAACTTGAATTGTTTAGAATATTTCATATTATATTAAGGATATATTATAAATATATAATATAAATATGCAAATGTGTGCACCTAAAACAGGGCGGGAATGGTAAGATGGACATTGTTTATGAACCTGACATGATTAAAATAAAATAAGACTTTACTGATCCTGCACTGGAGATATTTGCATGTTGCAGCAGTTTCAGAAACAGTGAAAAAATGATAACATAATTTAGAAAGATAGGACAAAAATAAAATAAACAATAAGATTAAGATAAAAATTAAAAAGCTATTTACAGAAAAGGCCTATACAAATATCGCATTTTGAAATGAATTTAAAATTGTTTTAGAAAGAACAGTATGAGTGACCTGCATTTTGAGTGCTACTACACTGACCTCCTTAGGAGACAGACCAAAATAAATATTAGCTGCTCTCTTAATATAAGCATGCAGCTTCCTTTCCTAGTCCAAGGAGAAGACTTAATAATGTGATCTGTACCTGTGGTCTAGTCTTCTCCCCAATTATCTCTGCCCTCCTCCTGCATTATCTGAACTTTATCAGTTGACCTGAGACTAATGTTTCTATATAGAGATGTCCAGAAACGCCTTCTCATAAACATCTGGCTGAATCAGACCTCTGTCTTTCTGACCCACGCTATTGGCATATTCTGTTGGTATAATATGACATAAACATGTTTTAATAAATGCTGCAACACACCAAAAAGTCACCACATTACCAGAAGCTTGTGGTCAGGTGTAGCGGGACAAAAGTAACAAGTGTTACTGAAGCAAACTTCAGGGTGTGTTAAAGCACTAAATAACCTACAGTTCCTCTTCGAGGGAACTCGAACTGCGTCGGTGACGACACTATGGGAACGCCCCTGGGCGTGGTAGGGCTGAACTATGAATGAAACTACTCCAATCCTATTGGTGTTACTAGAACGGTAGTGTGTGACGGCGTAACCGGAGGGGGTATATAAGCACGCCGGCACATAGGACACATTAGCTTCTTTCTATTCAGCAGGCACTCTGGCTATGTTTGGAAGCTCCATTTTCCTACCTGACATCGAGACGAAGCAGCAGAAGATCATGTCAAAGCGATTCCGACAGTGTGTCTTCCCTTGTGAGCGTTTCATCACAGAAGGTGATACCCATGGGATGTGCGTCTCATGCCTGGGGATGTCGCATGCTCAGGCGGCTCGTCCCCGATCGGGAGCCCGTTTCTCGGTTTCTCCCACTCGAGGGGCGAGTCCGGAAAGGCTGACACGATCTGGCTCTGAGGAGCTAGATGTGCTTAGCATAGAGGGAACGGAACGTCATCAGCCCTCGCCAGGATACGAGGAGTTGTTGGAAGTGGTGACGCGGGCCGTGGCCAAGCTGCACATTGATTGGCCACAGGCGGTGCAGCAGCCATCGGCAGGCAGCAAACTAGATGAGCAGTTTCTGCAACACCGAGCGCCACCCCCGTGTCGGCCCATACAATTTTTTCCGGATCTGCACAACGAGTTGTGTAGATCATGGAATAAACCCTTCTCTGCGCGGCTGTCTACGTCCCCCCGGCTGGACTACGGCAACGTGACGGGAAGCGATGCCACGAGTGGAGGAGGCACTGGCTAGCTACCTCTCTCCCAACCTCGCCTCATCCCTCCAGACGCCGGCACTCCCCACCAAGCCGTGTCGGATGACGTCCGATTTGGTGGGCAAGGCCTACATGGTAGCGGGTCGAGCTGGTGCCAGCCTACATACGATGGCTGTCTTGCAGGCATACCAGGCCGATCTTTTTCGGGACTGTGACGTAGGGGGAGGTCCCTCTGAGGAGGACCTGACGGAGCTCCGTAGAGTGACGGACTTGGCTCTCCGTGTGACCAAGGAAACGGCCCGTTCCATCGGCCGATCCATGGCGGCTTTGGTGGCTACGGAGCACCATCTGTGGCTCAACCTATCAGGCATCCAGGAGAAGGAGAGGGCTTTTCTCCTGGATGCGCCCCTCTCGCCTTCTGGCCTGTTTGGCGAAGCAGTGGATGCTGTCGTCAACAGGTTCCAGCACGCCAAATCTCAGGGAGAGGCATTTGAGCGATATCTCCCCCGCCGGTCAGACTCCAGGACCGCGACGGCTCAGGAAAGGCGGACGCAGCCTTCATCCAGCACCTACCGCCACAGCCAGAAGCAGAGCGGCGCTTCGCGGGATCCCCCTCAACCAACCTGGGACGCAAGAAGGCACTCTCGCCCACAGCCCCCCAGGAAGACGGATCTGAGGACCGTCATTCAGTCTCGGCAGGCCCGGGGGAAGAGGTCCTGAGACCTCGAGTATCACCTCCTGCCTTCTCCCCCTCCCTGCCCCCCTTCCCCTGAGAGAGGCCGATCGAGGTCCCCTCTCTCATGGCGGCTCCAGCAACAGGCGTTGTTTCTCCCACCGCTTCAGCGCTCGGGACGCGCCAGCCGCCGGCAGGCCCTCGCCGATCTGTCCGCCCCGAGGGGCGCCAGCTGGAACACGACTGGGCTCACAAACCGTGGTTCACCGGCAAGCCTTCCCTGGCGGTCCTCCGCTTCAGGGCGCCACCGGGGATTCCCGCGGAAGCTTGGCGAAGCCTTGAGAACATTTCCCCGTGGGTCCTCCGCACAGTAGTAGATGGCTACAGGCTGCAGTTCCGGGTTCGCCCCCCCAGATTCTGCGGGATGGTCGGGACTACAGTACACGCAGAACAGAGCCAGGTGTTGGGACAGGAAGTCCGCTCTCTTCTGAAGAAAGGGGCCATAGAATTAATTTCCCTGCCAGTCAGAGAAGCCGGCTTTTACAGCCGATACTTCCTGGTCCCCAAGAAGGACGGAGGATTGCGTCCGATTTTGGATTTGTGGTCCCTGAACCAATCTCTGAGGAGATTCAGGTTCAGGATGCTTACCATCCCAGCCATCATCAGTCACATCCAATCCGAGGATTGGTTTGTCACGATAGATCTGCAAGACGCTTATTTCCACATCTCCATCCGTCCCTCTCACAGGAAGTTCCTGAGGTTCGCCTTCGTGGGCACGGCTTACCAGTATCAGGTTCTTCCGTTCAGCCTAGCGCTATCTCCCCGCACGTTCACCAAATGCATGGATGCAGCTCTGGCTCCGTTGAGGCTCCAGGGCATCCGCATACTGAACTACATCGACAACTGGCTCGTCCTGGCCCAGTCTCGAGAGTTAGCGGTTCAGCATCGAGATGTCGTCCTCGCCCACCTTCAGCATTTGGGGCTGCGGCTCAACACGAAGAAGAGCGTGCTGACACCCGCCCAACGGACTGCGTTCCTAGGGGTGGTGTGGGACTCAACGACGATGCGGGCCCACCTGTCTCCCACACGCATCGAGTCCATTTTATCCTCAGTGACCAGTGAAACACTTTCAGAGGGTGTTGGGTCTTCTGGCAGCAGCGTCCAGTATAATACCTTCCGGACTACTGCACATGAGAGCCCTGCAGAGGTGGCTAAAATCAAAGTGATTCTCCCCAAGGGGAAATCCGCTCCATCTGATACGGGTTACGAGCGGATGCCTTCGTTCCCTGTCCGTATGGAGGAAGCCTTGGTTCCTGTCCCAAGGTCCTGTGTTGGGAGCAATCTGTCGCCAAACAATTATTTCAACAGACGCGTCACTCACAGGATGGGGCGCGGTCATGGACGACCGCTTCGCGAGAGGCTCCTGGGAGGAGCATCATTTCTCTTGGCACATAAATTGCCTGGAAATGTTGGCGGTTTTCAGAGCTCTGAGGAGTTTTCTGCCCGCTCTCCGCAGTCGCCACGTCCTTGTCAGGACCGACAATACGGCGGTGGTGGCCTATTTGAATCACCAGGGGGGTCTGCGCTCGCGCCCATTATGCAAACTGGCACATCGGATCCTCCTGTGGTCCCAGGAGAGACTGCTGTCCCTCAGAGCGATGTACATCCCTGGGACCCAGAATAAAGGAGCAGACCTGCTATTGAGACAGGGGTTGAGGCCCGAGGAATGGAGACTCCACCCCGAGGTGGTGGAGTTATTATGCGAAGAGTTCGGCCCCATAGATGTGGACTTGTTTGCATCCCGAGAGACGGCACACTGTCCCCTGTGGTTCTCCCTATCACCCCCAGCCCCGCTAGGGCTGGATGCCATGGTACAGACATGGCCGAGGCTGCGTCTGTATGCGTTTCCCCCAGTCGCTCTGCTCCTGGGGGCTCTGGAGCGGTACCGCCAGGACGGCGTCAGCCTACTACTAGTAGCCCCGTTTTGTCCGGCACGAGTGTGGTTCTCGGATTTAACATCACTCCTCGAGGGCCCGCCCTGGTAGGTCCCTCTGAGGAGAGACCTGCTGTCCCAGGCGGAGGGCCAGATCTTTCACCCGCACCCCGCCCTGTGGCAGCTATGGGTCTGGCCCCTGAGGGGGCGCAGTTCTTAGAGGCGGGCCTGACGACAGGAGCAGTCAAAACGCTGCTCAGCTCCAGAGCCCTGTCCACGAGAAGGATGTACGGCCTAAAGTGGAATGTGTTCACCACCTGGTGCAGATAACGGGCGGTGGACCCAGTTACCTGCTCGGTAATTGTGATACTGGAGTTCCTCAGGCACCGTTTCTCCGCTGGCCTCTCCCCGTCCACAGTCAAAGTATATGTGGCTGCCATTGCAGCATTCCACGCCCCTCTGAGTGATGGGCCCTTGGGGAGGCTTCCGCTGGTCGTGCGCTTCCTCCGTGGAGCCCGGAGGATGAGACCCGTGACATGTTCCAGGGTTCCCACCTGGGACCTGGCAGTGGTTCTCAAAGCGCTGCTTGAGGCCCCCTTCGAACCCCTGGAGTCGGCTGAGGCCAAGCACCTGACCCTTAAAATGACCTTTCTCCTCGCTATCACCTCTCTGAGGAGGGTGGGGGATCTCCAGGCACTGTCGGTGTCTCCCCGATGCCTGGAGTTTGCCCCGGGGAGGGTCAGGGCCATCCTGCACCCTTGTCCAGGTTATGTCCCTAAGGTTCCGGCCAGACTGGCAGGGTCCATGGTGCTGCAGGCGTTTCATCCCCCATCTCATGTGACGGCGGAGGACGGGAGACTTCATCTGCTCTGCCCTGTCAGAGCACGGTGCTGCAGGCGTTTCATCCCCCATCTCATGTGACGGCGGAGGACGGGAGACTTCATCTGCTCTGCCCTGTCAGAGCACTGAGTATTTACACTCTGAGGTCTTCCCAGTGGAGGAAAGCAGACCAGTTGCTGGTGTGTTTCGGGTCCCCCAAGGCTGGGCTCCCCGCGTGCTTATATACCCCCTCCGGTTACGCCGTCACACACTACCGTTCTAGTAACACCAATAGGATTGGAATAGTTTCATTCATATTTCAGCCCTGCCACGTCCAGGGGCGTTGCCATAGTGTCATCACCGACGCAGTGTCTCGTTCCCCTTCTCGGGGAACAAGGGTTACATACCCGAGACGATTTATCCTTACTGTGACACATGAAACGAGAGACACAACTTGTAATTCGAAAAACAACTTGCCATGCTCGAAAACAGTTTTCCGAAGACGGCCGCGGGAAACAATGACAAAATCGTGTGATATTTGGCAGCTCCATCAAGGGTTGCGTGCTGAAGGTGCTGTTACAGCTTGGACTGCAAATGCAGTCAGGGCTCTGAGAAATTCCCCTTGTTACTTTCGTCCCATGTTACTTTCGCCCCGGATTACCCTTACTTGAATAAAAGTTACTTTCTGTCACTGACATTCACATACAGGAAAATCTTTTCCTCCTGTCATACACAGGGGAACTGTATGAACTTTACGATGAACTTTAAAATACTACAGTACAACACAACAAAGTACACTGAGAAAATCCATCTCACTGAAAGGCTTAACAGCAATATTACGCTTGGAGGCACATCTGATAATATATAATGTGCGCAACATAATATTTTGCCTTTACTATGACCATTCACCAGCGGTGGAATGTACTGTAACTATGTACATTTACTCAAGTACTGTACTTAAGAAATAACCTTACACAACTGAAGTACTGAGTAATCCCATATTATACCTTTCTTGTAAGGCACTACATTTCAGTGGGAAATCCATTAAACTGCCTAACAGTATGTAATTGTTGAAATTAGCTCCACCAACTATTAACAGTAAAATGCTACTTGCACATTAATGCATCAGAAATAATAAGAATAAGAATAACATATTTAACACAATAAGATTCACAAGGATCCACTTTTGATACTTATATTTTGCTAATAATACATATTTTTTCTTAATCAACATTTTCAGTGAAGGACTTTTACTTGTAATTAAGTATTTTTACATTGTGGTAGCACAAGTATCTTCCACCACTGCTTTTCGTCATACTTACTGTACAAGCATTGTCTTATAAGACAGAATCTCCACGTGTGTGTATCTTTAATTTAAGATGCTTCGAGAGTTTTCGTGTTTCTTGTCACAGTGCAATCAGAGCTCTGGACACAGACATATTCAGGCTGCCTCACAGCTGCTTCTTATCAGATCAAAATGCTAACACACAAACACACTAATAAGCAGATGTAGCGTCGGCAGACCTGTCAGTTTTCGGTTCTTGTCCACGTCTGTCTCTGGAGCTGCTTGACATTTACGTGCAAAATTACTCCAAAAATTACTACCAGACAGGTGGAGTCAGGTTGATAAGCGGACATGAAAAAAGTTGCACTTTACCAAACTGAATTTTTTGTGAAGTAATAAAGAAAGTAATCAGAGTGAGCTGTCATATCTTTCTTCAAAGACTGATAAACTTTCTCATTTTCAGCTTTCAGTGTAAAAGCAAAACACACACAGCTCAACGACCGACTTAAAACTAATAATCTGTTGTAATTGCTGCTGATTGGTGGCTGTTCATGTAACGGTAGTATAGATGCCCTGGGGAGAAAAGGCTGGCAAATACCATTTTAGGAATCTGAAGCTGAAATATTTTCAGATGCAAAGCAGATGGGACTCCTCAGATATTCAAAAGAAAAGGAGGCATGTTGACGCGGCCCGCCTGTTGAGCTTTTGTCAAGTGCAGAGCTGTCCTGCAGCCAAGCAAACATTCCTGCAGAAATGTCTTCACTTGCAGCTGTTTTACACCTCATTTTGAGCTCAAAGCAATGAAAGTAACTTTATGCACTTTTGCATCGTGTACATTCAGAGTACCCCGTCAACACAGAGGAGGGCCGAGCAGCTGCAGAAGCTTGGCATGCTGTGCTTGTGCAACTGCTGCAGTGGAATCGGCTTGTCAGCAGTACAGAAAACACGCACATAACGTGAACGCTGCACATGTGGAAACCTGCCTCACACATGCCAGGAAGGAAAGCTCACTCTGGGTATAAAAATCTACTTTATTTGTTATACACAAAGACATATGTAATGCTCCTGGACTCTGCAACAACGCCAGCCATCTAGCAGATAAACACTGTGTGTAGCACTGAGGCTGAATGATAATACAAATAATATACAGGCCAGCCGCTAAGTGTGTATATCTATGTGTTTTGTGTGAGTAAAAACAAGTGTTCCTGCCACTCTCAGTGTGTTGGTGTGTGTGTGTGTGTGTGTGTGTTTTAGGGAAGAGTGTTATTTTGAGGATCACACCACCTCTGCTGCCCTTAGTCTAAAGCCACTTCTCCCAGCAGCTAAGAGGCCACAGAAGTGAAACTGATAGAACAGACTCCCTGTGCTCTTAAAGATAAACTAGACTAAAAACACAAAGAGGGGATGTTGTTTCAACAAGATTTGATGTTTTTCCATGTTTGCCAAGATTACAACTGAAAGAGAGTGCAAAAGTCATCTGTTCTCTTTCTCCCTCTCTCTCTCTCTCTCCCCTATAAATCAAGTAATCTCTTCCACAAAATAATGCTGCCATGTACTTTTAATCACAGTCAGAGCTCTGAGCTTTGTTTCACATGATCTCCAGATGTGTTGCAAACTTAAATGGGCGGAGACATTAATTAATTTTTAAAATTCTTAGTCTATTTTTTGCTGTTGTTGTTTAAGGTTTTAATGAACTGTGGAAACTCCCAACAGGCTTTCCCGTTCTACTCATTCTCACTCTGTGTTTGCAGCTGGTGGCCTTCAGGGCTGCCTCTCTGGCCTTTTCACAGCTCAGTGCCATGACTCCCGATTTTGACTTAATAGGCAACAGAGCAAAAATGACTCCACTTCTGTGTTTTTCCTCAAAGACAGTCTGCTTTCATAAGAAGCCAGTAATTTGTGTAATTGGTTCTATGTATTCCAATAGTAGTTTATCTTAAACAACAACCTAATTTCACCATCTTTAACTGAGCCGTCCTGAGGCCCAACACTGAGACATTTATCATCTGTCCACTAAAGTGCTTTTTTTTCAACCTTTCAGACTTTAAACCTGAGGGGGAAAGAGGTAAAAATATCTCTGTGTGTCCAGAGAAGGTGCTACATTTAACACTCCTCCTTACCCCGGGATCACACACCTTCCATTTCACAAGGAAAACACTCCCACTGGAGTCGCTGTTAAGCTTCATTTGGCATCGTAGAAAATGTTCTGATCGGGATGAGACTCCACAAACCCACAAACAGGATCTGCATGGTTGAATAGCCATAAAAACAGAAGCACCATCATCTCACCGTACAGTTGCTGCACTGCGATGATGTCATCCCAGCTCAGCACCAGGCCGCGGCCGAGCTTCCTGTAGTACGGCGACATCAGGGCGTGACGGACGGGGGAGTGCTCAAGTCCCAGAGTGTGTCCGATCTCGTGGGCGGTCACCATGAACAGGTTGTGTCCCTTGTGTCCGTTTAGGGTCCACCTCTCCTCCCTGTCGAAGTGGGCTTCCCCTCGGCGAGGCAGGAAGGCGTGAGCCAGAGTTCCTCCTGAAGGTCGAAGAGGAGGGAAACTGTTAGAGACTGAGTGACGTACATTTACAGAACACATTACAAAACAGTCATATCTGACCACAGTTAAACATTTACAAACGTTGGTGATGGCTTAATTCAGAGCCCTGTGTCATTAAATGCATGAATAAAATAAGTTGATTAGCTAGAACTATTTGTTTAACACACTGTAAACCAGTGGTTACAATCCAGGGGTCAGGACCCTTACAGGGTCGGAAGATGACTCCAAGGGGTACCAAGATGATTAGCAAGGTAGGAAATAAGAACATTGATCGTTGTTAATTAATTTTCTGTCATCTTTGCTTTTTTTCTTGCTAAATACTAGTTTTATTACAATGTCTCCTGCAGGTGACCACACATGCTTCCACACACTAACTTGATCAGGTAATATCGTGTTCACAAACTGTTGTTATTGTGTAATCCATGTTAGTGCAGAGTGTGTAATCAAACTATTATCTTAAGCGGGTTTATTCTCAGTAATCCGGTTGCTGTGTGTACACATAAACAGTAGGACTTGTTAAATTGTGTTTCTTCAGGAAGTTGGGATCAAGACCTCTTTTGCAAGAGAGACCTGAGAACAAATTACATACACGGGATCATAACACAAAACAAAAACAATCTTCACACACACACTAATTAAAATTCTGTAAATTTTTCCCTGTCCAGTATAAATTAATCACTACTGATCGGTTATATAGATCAGTGGTGACTTGTGTGTGGTTCAATGTGTGGTTGTCCCTGACCTGGTCCGTCGAAGGCGTTGCTGGCCCCGTCGTTGTGGTCTCCCTCGTAAAAGGCCAACCGGATGTCAGCGGGACCTTCAGGTGCCTCTTGGAACACCAGGCCCGACACGTTGCTCCACAGCTGGAAGGCAGTGCGCACCACCAGACGCACAGAGCCCAGAGACAGGTGGTGAGGCCAGTTCACTATCTGGTAGGTCAGATGACGTTTGTACCACTTCTCAGCTGGAGAACACCCACAGACAGAGAGAGTAAGAGAGCGAGGAACAGAGACGTGAGACATGCAGGTATGAAGCTCACAGCAGATGACTGCAGATAAGCTCAAATCACAAGATAACCAAAAGACAAACACTGGCAGCTTTCCTGAGCAAGAATATTTTTAACTATTCATTTTACAATTTTACAATTTATTGTAATAAACCTACAGAAATGAGTAACTAGAGGTAAATATCTGACATTTTCAAGTTCAAAATCTTATTTAGGGGTTGTACCAGAACTGGTTTACATGGTTTAATAAAAAAAAAAAACACACATGCACATTGCTGCAGCTCCTCTTTTCACCCTGTGTGTTGAACGCTTTGTTTTAGCTATAGAGTGACACATCTTGCCTCTACATGATCTTTGTTGGGAGTTGCACATTCGCAGTTCTAAGTTAAGGACTACTAGCCAATCAGAAGCAGAGAAGCCAGTGAGAAGCCGGTAAACCGCTTCGGTTCAGCTGTATATGTTGCCAACCAGCTTGGCAACATAGACTGGAGCAAGAGTTTCAGAGTGATGAGTTATTAATCTGTAACAAATGTATTTTTCATCCATAAAGTTTTAACTGAGCTCTGTCTCTACATCACAGTAACAACTTTATCCATTGACTGCCTGGAGGGTAGCTAGTGTTTGGAAGGGAGAGGAGAAGTGTGTGCTGCAGCTCAGTGTTTTTCCACCGGTGTTTTTGAGGGCATGTCGGACTAGCTGCTTGGCGAGCGTTATATGTGGCCCATTTGGCTTTCATCCCTGTGACGTCACACGGATGAAAGGGAAATGGCAAAAAAGGTATATAATTCAATAAAGGAGAGGGAAAAAGACCAAAAGCATAATACCACCTCTTTAAGGAAAACAAGGATGAAAGGGGAACTGCAACATTCCTGGCAGGTAACTTTTCCACCGCTTACACCTTTTATATTGCTTGTTTCAGTTCAGTCCAGTTATTTTGTTGTTGTATGTGGACCCACTACAACATAAATTTTCCTCACACTGATGTTTATGTTTAAAATCCCACAGGTGAACATTCGTAGTTTTACATTGAAGGGAATATTTTATCTTGTAGGGCCACTACACCGTGTGGAGCAGTGGTTCTCAAACTTTTTCTCCCATGCCCCCCTTTAGAAGCAGAAAAAAGTTGACTTCACTACTTCTTCAGTAGGAATTTATGGGCTCTGGGCCGATGGCTTCTTCAAATTCCTGTTACTGAGAATGCATCCAATAAAGTCAAATAATATACACACAGTGACCCATGCAATTTGATTTCATCCATCTACTCTGTCTGTTTGCGTGCAACATTGTTTGAATTCATTAATTTATCTGGGTTTTGTTATTGACATTCAAGGTGATTTTATCATCAATACTACACATTTTAAAAAAGGATTATTTTTTAAGCATTATTAGCGGTGTATTTACATCTTGCATGACTGTATTATAAATTCGGATGCCAGATATCCTGTGTTCGGCCATGATGTTTTGAAGCCTCTCCACATCCAACAGGCAGAGGTGAAATGATAGGATGTTAACCATGTTAGCTCGCAGCTGGGTAAACTAACAAGCACTCTGAGTATACGCTTGACTAAACAATTTACTTCAACACGTGTCTGTGGTCTTTTCAGCTTAGACATAATTACATGTGTCGCAAACTTCAGAATCTCACATTTGTTAGTGGATTGAGGGAAGAGGGAGGGGGTTTCAATTCAGCTGTTCTTTAATTTACAAATTGCTAATCTCTTCAGTGTCTACAAGGGATCAGTCAATGTAGCAATCTGGAGGCAAAGCAAACACAACAACAAACACACACACTCTCAAAGATGCGGCACACATTCACAACAAGCAGACAGGGAGGCTGCCTCGCAGGAAACAACCAGATAATATGACCCTTTAGGGAGATGTAGCAGGAGAGGCTGGACGCTTGCTCTGACTGTTCAAGATCAAGGATGAACACATTTTAAACTTGAAGATAATTTTAAGGTGGAATAATCATCTAAATCATCTCCACAAAGATCTAACATTTCTTGACTCACAGCTGATCTCTCTAAGGTTTTGATAGCCTGTGTACTTTGAATTGGTAAGAGGTCTTGAGAAGGTGAGACACAGAATGAGTGCAAGTCCAATAGAAGTAGTCTCTGTAGAAGGTAATGCACTTTAACCGCAAGGGTTTTATACATGTACACATATTTTCACATTTGAAGCTTAACCAGAAAGTGGCAAGATAACTCAAGCACACTTACAGTTGTCAAAATATTTAAAGATGTGGTTGGTTCGCCCCGTTGGGGAGGCTAAATGTGAGTAGGAGGTCTGCACACACACCACCATTACACACTTCTGCTCAATCATACACGGACGACTGACGCAGTCGGGTTTGAGGATGTAGACCTGGATTTGGTTGCCATTTGTGCTCAGTTAAATAACATACAGCAGAGAGTCATGTGAAAGACTGGAGCGATAAACAAGAGGTATGCAATACATACTGTGAATTGCCATGAGAGCTCAATAGCACCCTGGAGAGAAGAAAATATCTGGATATCTGGAGCCATTAAGACATGGGTTTGGCAGTGAAATCGGTGTGTGTGTTTGTGTGTGTGTGTCTGTGTGTGTGTTTCTGTTTGTGTAAACACACAAACGGAATTTGTGCTGCAGCAGCAATTCTACACAAATCTCGATGTAAATGGGGGAGGTGTGTAAACTTGATCTTTAACCGTTTTGTTACAACGATGCACAGAAATATTAGATGGAAAGGGTTGAAGCAACAGGGCTTCGTTTACTACATCTGTATGAGAGTTATTAACACGTTCATTCACAAGAAGGAATGAAAAAACAAGAACAGGATGAAGATAAGAATTCAACCCTTAGGAGTAATGTCACTGCCATTACAATATGCATTTTCTTTTAAAGTCAGATTTTTATACACAGTTTGATATCTGATCAGGTTCTCAGTCAGACAGACGCTTGAACACACTTCCTGGCTTTCCCAACCCAGCTTTGCTTTTTCACTCAGATGAACTACTGTATATGGTTAGGCATGTCGCCACATGATGTGTGCAGATCTCCGTCCCAGACCGCCACACAATAAGAGGTCCCCGAGGACGGCAGAGAGGCCAGGAAGTCAGATACACAAGATATTCCCCAACTTCCCTTATGGAAGCAATTACCATGATGATCTCTATTGCAGCAGTGCGGAGAGAGGTTGGGTTATCACAGACATTAGGAAGTGACTGATAGACAAAGTTATTGTTTGTCGAGATGCAGAGAGATTTTGTTTGTACCTGGTGTCAACTTGGAGGCTGCTTTACACACAACTAAGGGCTAAGGTCAGCATGCTAACCTGCTCACAATAAGAATGCTAACCTGCTTATGTTTGCCACGTTCACCGACTCATCACATTTAAGAAGCTGGACGGATTTTAGGCATTTTTCTCTTAAAAATAAAATCAATGATCAGAATAGTTTTTACTTACTGAATTGACTATCTTTTTTTCTTTATTGTTTATTTGTCAGGGAAAATGCAAAAGGGAAACATTGTAACAGGTTACAGTAACTTGAACAGATGTGTTGCAAATAGGGTTTCTAGCTGAAGCTAATTTGCAACCCCTGTCCCTGGTTAGGCTACATACATTACCATTACCACGAAAACAGAAACAAACAACAAACAAACAAACAAACAAACAACAAAAACACACCAGTCAGGAGAAAAAAACTAAATAAATAGTCACATTATATACATATATCTGTGTGTGTGTGTGTGTGTGTGTGTGTGTGTGTGTGTGTGTGTGTGTGTGTGTCTATATCTCTATATCCGTATGGACATGTCCATTTATAAGTGCGTCTGCACAAGGGCATGATCGGTGATCATAGATTCGGTTTTGTTTCAGCCAGTGTTTCACCTTTTCATTAAATGTTTTCAGATTGGTTTGTGTTTTTATTTCTGTTGGTAGGGCATTCCAAAAATGTATCCCTTTTACAGAGAAGGATGACTGAGTGGTTTTGCGCTGCGCCACCTTGCAGTTGCCATTTGCTGATACCCTAGTAGCGATTCTATTAGTATTTGTTTTTGGACAAAGTACAACTGGAGCGAGATTATTCACACATTTAAAAATCAATTTCATAAAAGAAAACTTAAGAAAACTATCATAACTAAGCAAATTATACTTTTTCAGTATTATATAATGATGCCATTTCATTTTTATCCATTATTTTCAGTGCTTGTTTATATAGTGATATAATGGGTATAACAGTTGAAGCCTGGCTCCATACAGTAACACAATAAGGAAGATGGGAGAATATCATGGCATGCATAAACAGTTGAGCTGCCTTGAGGGGACTAATAAATCAATCAATCATAGCAGCTCCAGTGAGCAAAGCTCTGAACGCCAATCTGTGCATTCTGTTGAAATAGTGCAAAATTAGTGTATGCTGATGCAATATTGTAAAATGGCAATAAGTGGTTAACAGCTTCCAGGGCAAAGATCCATAATGTGCACACCTCTGAAAAATACACACACACCTATCGCACTTATAATGCTTATCTTGGACGAGGGTGGTGGAATGTCAGCTCTGTAAATATCAGTGGGAACAACCACAAGTCAAGGTCTGTTTTCAGTTTCGAGGAAGCGCAGATGGCAGCCATGTTCACACAAAACCAGATCACATCACATCACAGCTGATCAAACGCTTGCAGTGGCTGTGGCCCGCAGACTGGGTTTAGCAGCCAGAGTCAGCTGTCAAGGTAAGCACTGAGGCTCAGGATTGATACCCAAATAAAAACAATCTTTCTCTAATTAGATCACGTTCTGCGCACATGACTTCTTTGTTGCTTCTCTGTTGCTGTTGTGTGAATGCATGTAGCCATTGCTTCATTACTTCAGAGAGTTCACACAAAAAGCATTTGAAATCTGTACTGTGAAGGTTCTCAGTCAACCAGGTCATAGTTACCTAGTGACCTGTCCTCTTCAATGTGTACAGCACAGTCCAGGAAGGCCAAACTGTTGTCCCAGCAGATTGGGGTTTACAGGAAACCTACACACACAGACTAATACCTACTTTTCGATTCCCACCACCCACTGGAACATAAGCTAGGGGTCATCAGAACCCTGCACCACAGAACGGACAACATACCGACAAGTGCATAAGCCAGAGAGAAGGAACAGAATCACCTGAAGGGGATACTTACAGACTGTGGATACCCTAAACGGACCTTTCTGAAACAGCCACAAGATCCGGGAAGAACAGAACTACGGGGGATGAGGAAAAGAAGGTCAAACGCAACAACCTTGTGATTCCATGTGTGTCTGGAGTATCAGAGAAACACAGGAGGATTTTCAACAAACACAACATCCCTGTGTTTTTGAAACCCAAGAACATGCTATGATAGCTACTGGTACACCCCAAAGACCGCACACCCAAACACAAGAAAAGCAATCTAGTGTATGCGGTCCAATGCAGTGAGGAATGCACAGACCTGTATATTGGGGAAACTAAACAACCACTACACAAACGCATGGCTCAACACAGAAGGGCCAACTCCTCAGGTCAAGACTGCAGTTTACTTACATCTGAAGGACACTCGTTTGAGGACCACCAGGTGCACATTTTAGACAAAGAGGATGGATGGTTTGAAAGAGGTGTCAAGGAAGCCATCTACACCCGGGTTGAGAAGCCGTCGCTGAATAGAGGAGGGGGTCTACGCCACCACTTATCCCCCACTTACAATGCGGTCCTTTCATCACTTCCCAGGAAACTCAACAAACCATAACTTATTGGCCTCAGGTGAAGATGCCAACGATGGTCGTTCAGTCTTGGTCTCTGGTAGTCCTAACTAGCATAACGACAACAGCCAGGAACACTAACGAACCAGCGGTATCAAAGATCCTGGCAAACGACCCCACTGAGGTTAAATAGCTGAGTTTCCCTACCAGTCAGTCAGAACTGAAGAAGTCTCTTGGATGAGGGACGAAACCTCTTCTAGTATCTTCAACCAAGTCCAGTTGCCCTTGACTTTAACCTTATTTGGATAAATCTGTACTGGCTTTGGTCAAAAATGTTTTTTTTTTTGGTATTGTGCAGTCCTTGTGAACTACAATAATTTATATGGCAACAAAAATTACAGTTATATAAACGTTCTGATACATCTTCTCAATTAAATCGTATGTGTACAGTTAGTTATGTCAAATTTAAACTTGCTTGACATGAATGTCTGACGCTGCTAGCATGGCTAAAAATAAGGGCTGTACACAACTGACGCCTTCAAATCAAATGTTTCCTTAACCTAAGTGCTGAGTAATTCAAAGCTCACCTAACAAAGGCCAGTTTTACTGGCATTGTACCCAGTCTGAGTCTGTCAGACCAAATGCTCTACTCAAACATAAAACTCCAGTCACAGTCAGAGATCTACTGCCACTGTATGACAAACCAAACTAATGTTTGAGTACAAGGTGTTGGTTAAACAGCCTTACTATACTGCAACTCACGATTAAGTTATAACATTGCTAAACTACATCAGGATATATAAAGCCATATCTGAAAAGTATTTGCCATTAACGCTGCTCTTTGTATAATAATCCAAGTCATGTCAGGGACTCGAATAATAACAGAGAGTTGTTGTCTTCATGAAGAACAGGCTGTAATCCATCCAGTCAGTCACTCAGCAAGATATCCACTCATTTAGATATTCAGCCAGTTTGGAAACAACATAATCCAGTCAGTCAGTTATAGATGTGTTTACCAGAGGGAACATGTCAGGTACTGACACGAAGAGGCGGCGGCAAACATCAGCCACCGCTGCATTCCCTGAACATTAGCCAAGCTCATCAGTGACATGAAGGTATGCAGAGGCTTCACACATCATGAGGCTTGAGGCACCATGCCGCCGCTTGCTACTCATTCACAGAGGAGATTGAGCAATGACAGCAGCAAAGAGGGATGAAAACAAGTCATGAAAGACTAGAACATATAGTTAATATGCAGCCTGTAACTCCATATAACAGGGTGACAACGGATCCAGATCCATACAAAAAGAAAAAGATTTTACTCCTGGGCCTTTTGAGATATCTTTCTAACATACAGACGGATAAACAGATTCAAAGATTCCCCCTGAGCCATCTGGCTTCATCAACTCCAACTGAAGACCCTGTCATCTTAAAAGTTAATAATCCATCAAAATTTGCCCCCCTCCACTCAATATCTCCCCCACATGTTTATAAGGGGTTAGAAATTACACCACCAATTCTCAAGGATATTCTGTAAAGTACCCTAAGCTAGAGGACCTTGTGCTCAATTACTTAATGCAGTCTGCAAGACATTTGGCTGCACTCTTAACCACCGTTAAACACTCCAAATCCTCCAGTCTTTAGCCAGTTCAAATTGCAGTGATCTGCTCACCAATGAATGCGTTTATTGCTGTGTGTAGCAGAAAATGAGGATAATCTCAAACAAGAGCCTCAATAATTCTTTAAAGGAAAAGTGCAGTGTTTGTAGGGACACAACTTGGAATTACAGATTTCTAGAGGACATTGCTGTTCGATGAACCCTAATATCTCCCAAATCATTTTACAAACTGATAAAAAAAACTATCCATTGACTTAAGAGGTCTTTTTGACTCGAGGGAGTCTCGAACTTTCTCAACCAACACAAGAGCATGTTACTCCAAAATTAAAGATAAAAAATGTTACTGTGCAGCTTTTCACCCAGTAAAGATGACGTACAAGATACACAGACTTGTGTAATGCAGCTAAAAGCAGGAATCATCCAAGCTGACGGGTGCAGCATCAGACACTCCACCTGCTTTAATTACACCCCTCACCTCTATTTAGTGCTTTAGTTTACAGAGGTGGACCCACCCAGTTGATGGTTGGCTCTTTATGACCCCACAACAGGACACACAAAACCTCCACGTGCAATGAGTGATATCACAGCTTGCAAACAGATGCAAAGATCTCAGTTAGGTCTTCACTGCACAGAAACATACATGCTCTCTCATATAGGTACTCATGTAAAAATGGTGTCTCAATAATGTACACATAACACACAATACCTTGCGCAGCAGAGCGCCCCCTCCTCCGCTGTGGTCGTCTGACAGCGGCGCTCTTTCCAGTAAAGATGGCGTTTACTCTCTGAGCCCAGATATGCTGGCTGCCCTCATCCGACACCCCACAGCGGGGCTCCGACATCTGCCTCAGGGTGGCACCGTCAAGCTCACCCGTGACCGGAAGCCGGGACAACATCTGGAACTCGCTACAGAGAGAGGAAATATTTGCAAGATGCTCTTCCAGAACAGGCATTCGGCTTTTCAATCAGTTACATTAGGAATCAACTGGAATTTGAAGTGACTGGATACTCAGTCTGAGACTCTTGACTTAATAGAAAGTAGTTTCTGAGAGGAGCAATTGAAGTTTAGCCACCCTCAAAGCATAACTATGCCAGACACGTAGATTGCTGGTGGATCGAAGATTTACACATTGTTCATAATGCAGCTAAATAAAGATATGCAATTAAATGGACTGCAGTGTCATGAAGCCATGATAGCATTGTCAGTGGTTCTGTTTCTCAAAATGCAGATGGAGACAGTAGACGAATGGTTATTTTCAAGCTTAAACATTGTGAAGCTAATCACAAGTGCTCGATGAATTTGTATTTATACACCACTTTTCTGGACCCCAACCACTCAAAGCACTTTACAACACGTCACATTCACACACATACACACACACACAGTAGCCCCTTAAACCTAAACGTAACCATCATACCTAGATGCCTAACCATAACCCTAATCTTAATGTAATTGGTACCTGAACCCAAAATCTTAACCCTCAAAAAGCACCTCAATTTTTGTCCCCACGGTGACAATCCTCCTATCAGTTAGGGTGCATTCTGGTTAAAATCCCCACCGGGAAAGCAACATGTAAACACACACACACACACACATTCATACACTGATGACAGAGTGCTTCCTATCAAAAGTGCTCATCATAATACTAAGATCATCATCGAGTAATTTGGGGTTCAGAATCTTGCACAAGGAAGACTTTGACTGGACTGGGGGAACCAGCGGACCTCCTATTACTAGACGACCCACTCTACCACCTGAGCCCCAACCACCCCAAGTACATCGGCAAAACCCTGACCCACTGTTGCACAGTACGACCATGACCTGTACTTACTTTATTTACCAGAGACAGCTGACAGTAGATCCCATTAGATCACGTCACTGTGCTCCAAAGCTACCAGATTTTGATTCTGATGAACATGCTGACACTTGCTTTTCAACCACACACAGTTTACTACCTACTAACACTAACACCCAGTCCAAACAAAGCTTTTCAATCTGTTTCCATTATAGTACAGTCAGCATACAGGCCAGAGAGTGAGTTTCTTGAAATTCCTGGATGGTTCAGAGAGGGTTCAGGGGAGGTTTCTCAGGTTTTACTGCCCTGCACTGACGTTCAGCCTCGAGGCTTGTCCCACACCGAGCTCACCCTCCCCCCGATGAACACAACCAGCTGACTCTGATCTGCTGTATCACTTGGTTTTAAAATCACAACACGTTCATTTTAGGGCTTCTGATGAGCCTTTGTGATTTCTACATTGATGCTGGCTCGGGATCGTCACCAAAAACAAGCTTTAACTGATGAAGACCACATTACCACCTACCAGATAGCTGACTGCATCTCAGCTGCATTGTGGATGTGGTTGTCCTGATGGAGATAGCCATACTTTTCCAGAAAAACCTGCAATTGTTAAAAAACTTGTTAATACTGATTCAGAAATTCTCTAACTAAACATATAAACCCAACAGAAAAGTGGTTTCCAGTCATTATTACATCCAAGCGCCCTTCTACTTAACCTATACTTTAAAGAGACTTTTTGGATAATATGGTTGATTTTACAGACCAACAACCTCACTGTAAGCTTTGCTTCTCATAAGAACAAAACTCTAGTAAACCCCCAAAGAGACAACCTCCCCACGAGTAAGGTAGTGTAAAGAAACTTTTCCATAGCTGCTGTAAGTTGCCACAGTGTACATAGATCTGGACCACATATGGAAGGGAATTCCCTGGGGTGTCCCAGAAAATTCATAGTTATTATTTCCGCAAGAATTTTATGCAAACGTGCAAGCTGAGAACAGTTTAATAACACCTATAAAAACTGCCAAAAATGAACCAACTGGGTACATCACAACAGATGTTGCATTGTGGTTTGAGCTTAGCCATGTTGATGGTTTAATATTAAGATCTTGTGTGTGTAGCAGGTTTCATGTTCAGACAACGGCAGGAGTAGCTATGATTACAGATGTGGTGATGAAATTAAAATTGTACAGATCACAGATGTGCTTGGCAAACAAGAATGTGCAACAAAAATATCCCTTTTAGAGACACTGAAACATGCCAGAGGGCTTTGTTTTATGTAAGAACAAGACCACAGTTGTGGAACACACGTAATAGCCTCATGATATATGGTCTTACAACTTTGATGAAGAACATGTAGCTTACAGATGCCCATCAAAGAGCTGCGAAATGAAACGCGTGCAGTCCAAACCACATCGAGACAATTAAATTGTAACATCCCAAAAACACCCTGGGAAACAATTATTTGTATTTTCTTTTGAAAATGGGCTCAGTCTCCTTGTATGTCACTGTACAGCCGACATGGTCTAAATGTGTCAGTAAAAGGTCACATTAACGGTTCTTGTAGACAAAAAAACTAATCACGCAGCAGTGTTTCTTACACTTTGAACTTTTCCCCAGTGCTTAGAAATAAATTTCCTTCCCTTTAAATATGTATTTTCTTTTCCTCTGGTCTTATTAAAATGCAATATATATATGCTACAAAAGTGTTGAGGTGGTAACCATTCCCTCTGTCACAAACAAAGCTTACACATTTGATGTTGGCAACACAACAAAGCATAAAGAATTATTACAGCAAGGAAATATGTCATATTAGCAATATTTGAAAAATTATACACTATTTTTCCCCCCACAACTAATTCACAATGACTGTACAGTATGTTATCTTACATGGTGACCTGGTTTATGTTCAGAGGTCTAACGTTAAAACTCCAATAAGAAAAATCTAAATTAATTTTAATTATTTGGGAGTATTCCCAAATATATAAGTGTTGCTAAAAGTACCAACACCACCATTTAGGCTACAGAGCGTTTGAAAATCCAATTTACTGTTTTACAGCCGTCTCAAAAACAAAAACAATAAAAAAAAAAAAAAAATTAAGTAATGTTCATGTCTTCAAGTATAAAGGCAATTAAACTTAACTACGTTTTTTGAGCCGATTTGAACCTGGTCTCCAAACACATCATGGTTGCTAGCATGACTACAGGTTACATTTCCTTATTCAGCAATTTGTCTTATTATATGCTGTTCATATTTTACATTTGAATGTGCCTTCTACTAAGTCTTACTTTTTAAAGATAGTCTACTTTAAATTCAGTTATTTGTGCCCCTTCGCCGAATCTAAAAAAACCCCAACACTTCTGACAGCACCACCTCGGGGTCCAGCGGTGAACCTCCGGCAGTCTGAGCGGTGATGAGGGTCACAGTGAGGATCCAGGCTGCCCTCATGTCCCGTCCATCTCCACACCGGTCCGGAGGTCGGCGGCTCATTGCGGGACAACCACACTATCAGCACTCTGCCGCTTGCATGGCGCATTTCGGTCCTGCTGATAATTTTTTTCCCCTTGTTGGCTTTCGCTGTCAGTACGTGACAGCATGCTGCTGCTCGCCTAACGTCTCCATCCCTGCGGACTGACGGAGCCTATTCAACAGGCAGGACTTTCACAGGGGGAGGGCCAGCGCCGCCCATCTGTGCCAGAGGGCTGAATGATACCAGCAGAGCCCTACTCTTCATACTGTGCCCTTCATGTAGTTTCCAATACAGCGTTTTAAGCGCGGCAAATGACGGGTATGAACTCAAAGAAGAGATCACGGTTTTTAATATTTTGAGAGAAAAAAAAAAAAAACACACACACAGAATCCAAGTAAAACATTTTATTCCGTTCATACAAAACAAAAAAAAGGTACGAAGTCTACCTCACAACACATCTGCAACTAGAATCTGAGAGAAAATTAAAAGATGTACAAAGAAATAAAACAAAAAAGGGGGAGAAAAAAAAAAAACCAAACAACATTTGACCACATGCCAACAGTGCCAATCAGCCCCCAAGTCCCTTCACAGTAGCTCAACACACCCTTCCCCTCACTTGTAGATGAACAGTTATAGCTGGGATATATTGGCTACAAAAACAAGGTACACAAATCAGAATATCTGATCCATCACCTTCCCCAATCCTAACACCCCCCAATTTCCCTCCCTCCACAGCAAACTCAAGGGCTGGAATGGTTTCCATCTGCTCAACACTTAGTATGGCCGGTCTCTTCTGTCGTCTCTGCGGTCACCTCTGCGGGGAAAACACAAATGTTTCAGTAACCAGCTGACAAGACAGACATCCACTTGATTGTCAATGAATTAATCATCTGAACAACACAGATGAGGGTGAAATATGTTGTCTGCTTGTCGTTCACCCTGCCTTTCGTCCTTTAAGATGTGTAAATGGATAACATCATTTGCTTTCAATTTAAAAAAAAAAGAAGCAGACTGTCCTTGCTTTTACAGCCACCCCCACCTTATTAACGCAGTACTTCACCTTCAGAGAGCTGCAATTTATCAAAACCTGCCAACACTCAAGACCCTCCATAACAGAAGTGGAGGATGTAGCATGAATATTTAGACACTTTGCAACTTGGCTTCTTACTAAGCAAGGATTTAAAATGGCTCTGGTTTATTGGTGGAACTGCTGCTTGAAGTGTTTTCACACAAGCAAAGTGATGCATTCAAGTATGCTCTAGTCAGGCAGTATGCACAAAAGGAAAAGAATGATGCTGGTGAAATGCATCAAAAAACAGTTACATGTCAGAATTGTTTTTTTTCCTGCTGTCTTTAGGTTTACCAAACGTTGGCCTTTTAATGTCCAACAGCTCAAGTGTATTTCACAGTATAAAACAGTGGGTTTCTTGTATACTACCTGCAAAAACAGTATACTGTAGAAGGTTGGTATTTAGCATATACACTGTATAAAAATGGGATGGCATTTATCTTTAAGCCAAGCTACAGATTCTGCATTTGTTGACTGATCTTAGACAGGCTGCGCCCTCTTCTGGTCATACCATCAAACTACATCAGCAAAGATTACAGATCGTGTTGGTATCCTCAAGATCAGCTTCCAACAACAAGTGTGTTTTTTTATTTAACCAACCTTCCTCCCATTTTGTAGCCCCCGCCAAATCCTCCGCCGCCGCCACCACCTCCGTAGCCTCCGCGGTCTCCCCCACGGAAACCTCCACGCCCTCTGAAGCCACCACCTCTGTCACCGCCGTAACCGCCTCTGCCTCCACGATCTGCAAACAATGACGTCAAACTGCTTACAACTATTTATTCAAACATGTAACTTTCGTGGCCTAATGCTTTTAACTTGCTGTAATTTTGGTGCACACGTGTTATTTTTAATCCTGCATGTTTAGAAATGTGAACACTAGAGCAACTTTCTACAGATCAATCTAGTCAATGCACTCACCACCGCCTGCATCTCCTGGTTTGGGCGTGCCACACTTGTTACACTCTTGCCTTCGCGCAAAATTCATGTTGCCACAAGAGCTGAGGACAAAGAAATCACACATTTTATACAAAGTCACAACTGGGGCCAAATGAGCCCCAATGAGCTGTAAATTTGAACTTTTCCTTTAACTACATAAAAAGCATGACATGCTCTCATACAAACCTGTTGGGACAGGGCCAGTCTCCTCCCTTAATGTCAAAGCTGGGTCCACTACCACCACGACCTCTGAAACCTAACAGCAACACACATTGGTCAAAAACGTCAGAGCTGCAACATTAACACAAGCACTTCTATTTATGTCAAAACCAGATTTGACATTCGCTACTTGAGCCCTGGAACAGCTTGAACAATACCCACCTCCTCCTCGCCCCCCTCTTCCACCGCCGCCACCCCCTCCTCTCTGTGTGAACTCAGCTCTGCGAGTGGCAAATGATACTTTGATGGGTTTGCCATTGAACTCCTTGCCTGAAATTAACAAAAAAAACAAATGAGTTAGAGCGACGCAGAATGATGAGAACGAGTATCATTGGAGAACTTGTAAAGCACGCTGGTGCCCTTACCATCAAACCAATCAATAGCAGCTTTAGCAGAGGGTGGGTCATCAAATGACACTGTTGCTTCTCCTTTTGGCCGACCGGTGGCTTTGTCAGAGTAGATGTTGATCATTAGCAGGCCGGTCTTCTTGTTCACCTAAAAGCACAACACCACCACGTGATTGTCAGTGCTCACGTTAGCATTTAATATCTGTGACTGGTTTAAAGCATCAAGAGTTCCAACAAACCAAAAGCAAGTAGAATGAATTACCCCCCCCAAAAAAAACACACCATTGGCTGTTAATCAAGTCCTTAGGATACATGTTACAATATAATTTAATTAACATGCCAAGAGACTAATTCAATACCTTGATGATACCAATTTGCTTGAAGAAGTCGCCGACTTCCTGAACGGTGGCATCTTCTCCCAGTCCCTGGACAAAAATGGTGTTGTTGTCAGAGTTGTCCTGCTCACCATCTGAAGAAGAAAGATAGGAGACAAGACTTGATCACATGAATGAAAATATGAATCTATGAGAAACCGAGGAAAATTTACTCTTGGTGACTTATTGTAGAAGCATACCAATCTGGGAGTTTGGGGAATATCCATGTTCAGTTCATTACAATTTATGATCAAAACTTGAAACTTTATTTTTTGTTAAAGCAGGGTTGTGGCTCCTTTTTTAATCAAGTTCAATGCTTTAAGACATTAAGACCTCAACAAATACAATTTAAGACCACACAAAAAACTATTTCTTTGATAGAGAGGAGTTTCCTATAATAGGTTTATTACTTTGCATATTCCCGAATCAGGTAACAGAGCGACAAATACTACAATATGTCATCATTTAATTTAAGTGAATAGTGCCTGCTCGCTGTGTCTCTGGCAGTGACAAAACTGCTCAAAGTCAACTGTCCAGAAGTTGAGGGACTCTGAACTTTCAAGTCTGCTACATGCCAACAATGCAGGCATTATATAGCCCCACAAGTAGCCACTGAATACCGCTGTAACATTTTTAAAACTCGTGGTATTCAGCAGCTTTCACCCCACGGTGCCCGACGTGAACTTAACCACCTCCAGAACCTCCCTACAACCACTTTTCATTAAACTCGCATCTCCCCAACTGCCGATAACAAAATGACACAGCCAGATGTCAAGGTTTGTAGCTAACAAAATAAAAATTAATGGGAGGGGTCTCACATTGTCTAAAACTAACTTAAACATAATACACACTAATTAGATGTGTTACGATAGTCAATTTTCTCGCCAGCCTTAAACACACTATCTGCAAATTTAACACCCAAATCCAGTTTACGGTAAATTTAAGACAATTTATGACCTTATTTTCTTGATTTGATCTCAAGACTCTAAAGGAGCTGCAGGAACACTGTAAAGTTACACATTTCTAGATGATAGATTCCCAATAGATTGAAGTAAGGGCACATCAAAGTCATCCCAAATGGCCTGTGCCATCAAGCAATTTCAAAAAGTGGATAGACATTCTGATATTAGATTACAGTGACTGGATAGAGTAGGACTGATTGATCAGTACATGGTTATTTAATCATGTGATGAAAAAAAAAAAAAAAAAAAGCAAAAAAAAAAAAGACTTACCTGGTTCATCCCTTGAGCCGTAGTCTCGAGAGCCTGTAAAACAGAGGAGAGGATGGAAAAGACGACTTGAGCAAGGGGACCTTAAACACTTTCACACAAATTATTATTAACTTTGTCCCTATCAATGCATAATGATAAAGAAAATTAAACAATGTCCATGTTTACAGCTCTCTGATGGGTGTTTCCATACCGTTGCACCGCATACCAACACCTTGCAACAAGAACAGAAGTGTTCTGTTTTTCTTGAGCTTACACCAGAAATGAAAACCACCAAAATGTCTCCAGAATTAGAAAGTTTTTCCCTTCTTCGTCCTGGGAACACCTCTGACATTACAATCAGCCCTCGTCTTCATGCAACAATACCATTATTTTACAACTCAGGCTCCATGTTCTTTACCATATCTGAAGTCATGTATGAGAAATCCTGCTAAGAATAATAGGTGGAGTCCCTTGGGATCTGGACATGAAAATGGTGGCATTCACTGTTTTTTTTTTTTTTTTTTATAAATCCCCTGTTTTCTTTTTGCTAACTCAAGTTCTTTCCTCCCCCACCGACACAGTTCTGATGCTCGTCACTTACCACCGTAATTTTTGTAGCCACCACGGTCACCACCTCTGCAGAGGAAAAATTGGAGATATGATGGCTTTTCCTTTGTCCCAACTGAGAGCTCAAAGCTCCCCTACATCCCCATCAGTATGCACTCCTGCCAGGGTGTGCGACTATGGTGGAAATGTCTCACACGAGGAATACGTTAGTCTTTGACATTAGAGATCAATGAACAGACGACTAGGCAGCTCTGACTGAACAATCAGGCAGACGAGGGAAGACAATGATTACATGTCACTGGGTCTCCATTTACAAAGAATTTGGTACTTTTTTCTTCTTTACATGGCCAGATTGAATACCAAGTGCTGGAAAACCAGCGGAATTTGTTTTAACATGATAAGCCAAATTGGTGTGAAGGGGTGTAGCAACGGATAAGCAATCCACTGAATGCATTTATGAGATCCTTTATCTGAGGTCCAAGTTTAAGTTCAATCACTCTGAACACCTGTAGTATAAAATGTAGATCCATGTTAACACAACACACATGTTCTCCATTGTCAATTATACAACACTTGAATGAAACCTGTTGAATGTGAAGCAGCTGAAGATGTGGCTCCAGGTCTAAGGACATCGTTTCAGTAGTTTCCATTGTTCAATTATGTGGTCCTCCGCGCACAAGAAACAAAATTGAGTTTCTGGCGACAAAACAAAAGTATGGCTGCTGGAGATAAACTTTTGATTTCTTTTAAATGGTTTATGGCTATATATAATATGTACAACAGACAGAAAAAACGTTGTACCGGTTGGCTCAACAATTTAAGTTCACCAACATGTGGAGCTTTAAGATCATACCAAAGCCGGTCTCGAGAAGAAAAAAAAACCCAAGGAGGGAAAGTAGTGGGTACCTTAACTCATCTCTTCAAAGACAGCGCTAACCTGGGGGGAGGGGGGCGGACGGACCATAGTTTGCATCTTAGTGTGGAGCACAGGTTTGTCCATGCTTAAAGTACTTATGATAGTTAGTACTGCATTATTCTCCTTAAAGAAACGTGTTAAGGTACGGCTCTTAATTTCACTAGATACTGTACAGCCTCTGAAAATGATACTATGCCCTTGCTGATGGAAAAATTGGCAACTGTTCTGTTGCAAAATATACTAAACCCGTCCCAAAGTCTGGGATAATATGGTTGTCCAACTGGTCTCTGGTGCCTTTAAAGCTCCCATTTGTGCAGGCATGTTCAGTCTCCATTTCTTTTCTTTAAAGACCCCAAAAACAAGTACATCCTTAGAGGGTCAAACAACATTTACTTAACCACCACATGTGTGAGTACCCATCACTTGATCTTAACAGCAATGTGGATTTAAGACCAGTATGTCTTACGTAAAAACCTCAGGTGAATCAGGTTTTGGGGGGCAAGTTTCAGGCACCTGGAGCACAATGCAGAGGGGTAGTGAACATTACCAATGTGATCTGTGACAACTATAGATGAATCAGGTTTTGGAAAACAAAAGAAAAAAATAAAAAAAATAAACACACACATTACCAGAGTTTGGGGATCTGTAGCATAAAGCAGATGAAATTATCTATGTGGATGTTTTGTAGTTGATGAGTGATGTGTTGAGTTACAACGAATCACGTCTCATATTTTAAGGTGTATAGAGGTACCTTGGGGGCAGTGGCACTATGCAACTTACCCCATACCAGGAGGTCCACCTCTTCCGCCACGGTCGTATCCACCGCGGTCATAACCGCCACGATCATAACCACCACGGTCATAACCACCACGGCCTCGGCCTCTGTAGGCCCCTCCTTCTGAACGGTCTCCTTGGTCACGTCCGAACCGCCCACCCTGACCACCACTTTCACCTGGGCAAAGAAAGATCTCATGAGTAGATACACGACCTGACATTAAGACTAGAATGCAGATGTAGTCCATATTAAAAGATCCAGGTATTTGTACTTTCACTCCATCTTCCATAGCTGCCACCTCCTTGCCCTTGGCTACCATAGGAGCTTTGCTGCCCATAGCTGTCTGCTGCTTGCCCCTGGCCAGCATAGGAACTTGGCTGCCCATAAGACGTCGACTTATCGCCATACCTTGTGGGTTGTAGGAAAATCATTAGCACAACAGAGATGCCAAATATTTAATCCTCTTTCAAATCAGGCAGGACAAAATTTTAAAAAGCGTATTAGTTTTCTAATCTAATGACATTCAAGTTATTGGTTTAAATTCTTTAATACTGTACTGCATTATATTAAAGCTGTGGTAGGCAATTTTAGAAGCATTTTGGTATTTGTTGAAATTCTCTTATTTCAATAAATCAAATGCTCGGACACAAAAAAAAATTATATCTCTCTCCATCCAGGTATCCGTAGCTGTCACAGGCATGTAATAAGTACAGCCAATCATTTCACTCCGTCCAAATGAAATAACTACCTAAGCAAACCCTGCCCCAGTACTTACTGCACATAATATGTTTTGATGGAGTGGTTTTGGAGGGAGGGGGTGTGTTTTCCAAAATCTAGATATCCCTTGTTAATTCTTTAACGTTGCCTACCTCAGATTTAAGGTTGAGAATCATGTTGCAGAAAAATCACAGAACCCAGAACAATTTAATGTCTCTGAAGAAATTGATATTGGCATCTTACCCAGATGAGTCCTGACCGTAACTTCCATAGCTCTGTGGCTGAGATTGGCCATAACCGTCTGTCAAGAAATTAGAGATGAGAACTTAAAAATAAATAAATAGTTTAATTATCTTCTGGTATATGCTGCAACACATCTTATCAAAATGTGATTAACTGTAGACCCCACAGCAAGGTCACATTTTAGAGGAGAATTTAACAAATTTAAGAGGCATCCATGCCATGTACAGTGGTTTGACCAATCCCTGTTGTTCCACAAATGTCTTGATATAAATAGACATACCTTGTGCTGCACCTTGCTGTCCATAGCCACTGTAACTCTGTCCCCCATAAGAGCCACTGCCATTTCCTTGACCATAACCCTGTCAACCAAAAGGGGGGCAAAACAGTTAGACAGCTTTTAATGAAAAAGCCAAAACTAAATAGCACAATACCTACAGCTAACAGATTTATAATAATGTGGGTCTTACCTGCCCGCCCGGCTGACCACTATATGATCCATAGCTGCAGACACATTGGAAAAGAAATTAGCTTTCCGGTTTTGGTGCACTCAAAACCAATTATCTAGCTCAGTTATATGTTAAACACGCTTTGAATAGGAATGTGCACAACGACTCAGCCACGAACAGGAAATTAAAGTAAGGCCTTGTTACCTTTGTGAGCCGCCGTATCCCGAATCTAAAACAGAAATAAATCAGTTTAACGTTGCTCGGGAAGAACTAACTTGCTAAACAGTGTGTTAAATAGCAAGGTGACTAAGCAGCTAATAGCTACTAGCCTGGAGGAAGCTTTCTTGAGAAGGAGAGCTAACTAACACGCAAACAGGCCCTCCTTCACCACGCCAGGAAAAATGGCGGTCAATTTGGTCTCGGCTTCGGCTAAATGTTGAAAGGGCACACAGGTTTACAAATGCGGTCCATTTTCGGTACAAGTAGCTTTACAATAAACTGTTAAAATGCCAATGTTGCCAACTCGTATTAAGACCATATATGTTCCGGTGGGGCAAAATGTGTGCGGTTGAGCAGGGAAACAGCATCGGTATAAACAAAGACACACTCATGCTCGCTATGGTAGCTAAAGTTAGCCGCGACAAGGCCCTGCTCAGTCTGCGACATTTATGACGTTACTACGCCAATTGTGGGTATGTATTTACATTAGCAGTGTGATCATAAAGTAACCTTATGAACACAACGTTTAATCAAATACCCGATAAAGATACTTTGGTTGCGCTGGTGAAATATGAGCTCTGTTCCAGGAATTAGACGAAGCCCTTCTTCTGGCCTCGCTTCTGGCCACTAACTTAGCTTTCAATGCTATTTGACCCACTTTTCGATAGCCGCACAAAATCAATACATAGAAACTTCACAATCAATCAGAAAGACACGTTGACTTACCAGTGGCCATTTTGTGACGTTATATGTATAGTTTAAAAAACAATGAAGTATGTTTCTTCGGATTAGCTGATAAAAACCCTGGTTGACATCTACGCAGCACCACAGAGCTGAACACACTGCGGCACTTCCCTTAATGCAGCTTCTTCTTCTGCCTGCTGCAACGAGCTGCTCCCATTCAAGGATAACTTATTATGTCGCCACCTACTGGTTCAGAGCGCTAATGAGGAAATGATACTCTGACGGGGATTTAAATATCAGGGACATATAACCACACCAGAGGCATGTGTCTTATCCACTGTCCCATCGCCATCTTATAGCATTATAGCATAGAATATAAAACATAATATAGTATTAGTATAGTATAATGTAATAAATATTATAGAATTACAAATGCTTGTGTAAGAATATTGTACGCTTAGTGATATATATGAAGTGTGTGGTTTGATGATTTACACAGTGACTTGAGGGCTTGAGGTCAATGTTTGGTGGTTGTGTCTGTAGGCTACTTAGCCTACTTAAAATCTGTTCACACAAACACAACAACTCACCTCCTATGTGGGATAACAAGCTGTGTCACACAAGGTAAACCATTACATTTTGGGTTGAGACTTGTTTTTTGGTTGGGTTAAACCTAATAAATGTAAGTCAATACAATGTAATTGTTTGAATTGAAATGACAAGCTGTGTGTGTACGTCTTTTTTTCAGCTTATGTCTAATTAATAATTACACAAATTGCAATTTATTACTCTTCTTGCTGTCACAAGTCAATATGTCTACCATGAAGAGGGCCAAATATAAAATGTTTTATTTATGATCCATGTCAACCGCTTATCCTGTACAAGGTCGCGGGGGGGCTGGAGCCAATCCCAGCTGACATCGGGCGAAAGGCAGGGACAGGTCGCCAGTTCATCGCAGGGCCACACATGGACAAACCACCAGTCACGCTCACACCTAAAGACAATTTAGGGTCACCATTCAACCTAGTCTGCATGTCTTTGGACGGTGGGAGGAAGCCGGAGCACCCGGAGAGAACCCACGCAGACGCGGGGAGAACATGCAAACTCCACACAGAAAGGCCGGGAAGACCGGGGTTCGAACCCGCGACCTCATGAATGAAAGGCTGTGAGGCAACATCATAAATGAAAGGCCGGGACGACGGGGGTTCGCACCTGCGACATTCTTGCTGTGAGGCGACAGTGCTAACCACTGCGCCACTTTTATTTTATGATTTCAATATCAAAATGTATGAATATATGGATCTATTTATTGCACTGTAAAGACAATATAAAAGTATAGCTTTATGGACAATGACTTTTTGTAACCCTAGATCAGGACTTATCACATCAGATCTGAAAGATCATTTAACAAATAGGTCATTACTCGAGCTTCGTGGAACAAGCTGCTGGTAAGGTTACTGTAAGTCACTGTTTGTTTAATCAGCAGCTGCTGATTAAACAAACACCACAGCCCTGTGTGATTTTCATCTCTCAACATTACTTCCTCATGGATATTAGTGTGATGGAGCTGAAACCTCATGTCTGATGACAAACAGAAAACAGATGGTCTAGATAATAATCTGCTACAGTTAGTTATACTGATTGTCTTGCACTCACTTGAACTATAGTTTACAATACTCCTAAATCTGGATCTAGGTTTTTATTTGGTCGTTGGCAGAATGCAGGTCATGTTTCATGCAAGTGCTACCTAGTTCCAGTGTTTTAACATGTTCTTTAATATTTTTGACTAAAGCCACCAAATTTAAATAAACCTCATAAAAGTACCATAACCTAATTTAATCACAAAAAAGGCAGCAACCCAACAAATTATTCCAATTTTATTCATTAAAAAATGCCTTAATAAAATCAAATACTCACATCATAAATGAATGACAAAAAAAGTGATTTTCTATCAAAACGTAAGTATGGACGAAAAAAATACTAGCAAAAAGATTGTGAAGCATCAGGGTTTTAATGCCAACTTAATACATAAGGCAGTGTTAAAAAGGCACAGGCAGCACTTTAACTGGTCGGCTGACCTCTTCAAACTCCTCATATTCACACAAAAGTACAGGGATGAGCACAGATGCCGGGAGACACCTAAAATGTTTTGATATGTCCGGTCACCTCTCCTTGTAGTGGTGCATATGTGATTGGACAAAAACAGAAAAAAAAAAATACAGATTAAAAAATCAAATAGGTGTAGTCTTACTGCCACATGACAAATCCATTTCATAATCCTCTGCTGTCAGATGTATATAAAATAAACAACCATCATTTGGGAGGCCAGACATGGTTTCATTTTCATCATGTTTAAAGACAGGCGTTTCTGGAAATAAAATGCACATACTCTTGTGTTCTCCACATACTCCCATTTGCATCACTTTTTGGTTACTGTTACTGATTAAAATGAACAGCAATGTATGCATAACAGCTGAAATCCCATGTCAAAATACAAAGGTAAACAAAAATTGTACCAATGATGCCAGTTTGTCGCATCAAAACATTTTCCCCTCTCAGAACTGCTGTTTTCTAAAACATCATGTATTTTAAGTACTTTTCAAAAGTACCACCAGATCAGCTCTGAGAGAAACTACAGTCAGCACAACTTCATGTCTTAAGCTTCTCCGTATGGCAACACGAACACATCTACAATCTGTTGATTAATTAAATGAAAGTTACAAACATCTCAAGACGGCAAACTGCCGTTCTAGCTTTCTAAAATGTTCAATTAAGTCACGTTCACCTTGGAATTATATAAATGTACATCCAGAGGTTGGGCCGGTGAATCCCTTTCCACAGATATTTTATTCAGTCATAATCAGTTTATAAAGCTGCAATCAAACTGATTGACTCAATATAAAAAAAAGCATCTAATTAAAATTAAATATGAAAGGAAGATGAGTCTTTGCTGCATTTGCAAAGTAAGCTTTCATGATTGGTTGACTGAGGACTTTCAAGCCAACGGGTTCCCACTTCTAATCCCGGAGCAGCTCGAGTGGCAGTCAAAACACCCAATTACACAACTTAATCATTTATAGCAGACTCTAACAGCCTCTGGAAAGCAAACGGGGTAACTGTTGTTTGGGCTGAGACCACAGCTCAAGTGAGGACCCCAGCAGACACAGACTGGTGGTCCAGATACATAACATAGTATTCATAGGAAATACAGACTGAGAAAGCTGAATGGGTTTATTAAAGAAAACCTGCTGAGGTAGGGTTTGCCTCAAGATCTTCTGCTACCTGTAGCTCTCATGAACCAGAGTGATGGACAAGAGTTTAAAATGTTTTATATTCAGTCCTGATAAAACAGTGCGGTAAAAATAGAAAATTTTAAAACCACCACTATTTAGTAGTAGTGAGACCGCAGTGGAGTCTGTGGCTCTTTAACTCCAGACATCTTGTGAGTAGCGTCCCTTGGTCATCAGTTTCTTGATGTAATCTGTGGCCTGGGTGCGCGTCATGCCTCCCAGCTCTTCTGCAATCTCGTAGAAGGCCGTCTGCACATCCTTAGCCATGTTCCTTGCATCCCTGAATCAGGAAAGAAATCATCTTAGATTTCTGGATGTCTTTGCATTAGCGTTTCCCCTCCCCCTATCTTGTATGTTTTTTGTCCATCAATAGCCAGCCAGCAATAATGTACAACATAAACATGGCGGAAGTTCTTTGCTTTTCATTTCTAAATGATGGCAGTGTAAACCAATTCTCACTGTCCCACTAGGCGGTGACAAAGCACCTAAGAGAATGTGGGTTTCCATAAAGGTTATTCATTGTCAGCAACACCAATTCAAGCGTACTGTATCAATACATCAGTATTCTTTCACAACATCCATGTGAAGGTTCAATCTTTTTGAATACATGACGTTACGTTAATTACCCGCAGACGTAGATATGAGCATTTTCAGAGTTAATCAGCTTCCACATGGCCTCCTTATTTTTCTTCAGGAGATGCTGCACGTACACCTTTATTTTTGAAAATGGAAAGAGAAAACATTGTTCTTATGTACATCTTAAACTGTATGTTTCAGGGTTTATCAACACAGAGACAAATAATATACAGTATACTGTACATTTGTTATTGAATTCACTGTTAGACTAGTGTTTTTCCATCATCTCATTTTACCAAAAGTTGTTCAATAATTTAAATAACAACGACCATTTATTTTTGTTACTATATTATTAACATTAGACTGTGTCGATGACCAGCCACTTTAAAATTCAGGTGCACTAAACAATGACGCTGAAACCTACAATCTGCATCTGTCTTTGCTGTGATAAGACAACGCTCTGGTTTCCAACAGAATGAATCACTTCCCCAACCACGCAACAAGGTGCATTTTACATACTGGAGGGTAAGGGACAGCAAAGATGAGGCAAGACAGCCGTACCTTTGCTCCTGGTCTCTGGAGAAGGCAACATGGAGCTGTGTTAGAACTCCATTCTTCTCTGCTTCCTCAAGCTCCTCCTGGTAGATATAATCCTCGTTCTTATATCTACAGCCGAAAAACATCACCGTCTCTCCGACCTCCTTTCCTATAAAAATGAAAACAAAACATTGGTCATTTTACACATGCTGATTATTCTGTTCAGGCCTTTTCACTGAGGTATTTAAAAGTTACTACTCGCTCGTGTTCAGACCTTTAGTCCATTCTCAGTCACACAATGATCAACACACAGTAAAAGCCTGTCAGACCAGTTTTAAACAGGTGAAACATCTAATCTGTATATTGTTAGACGTGTCAACAACTTATAGGTGACTAGGCAGGTAGGGTGTAAATGTTCATATAAGTCTTCAGTTTAATTAAATTTAATTAATTATATGAACAGATGAGAGGAGGCCTAAAGTTTGATGAAACAAAAAGTGAATTATGAGCTGAGTGCTACTAACTGAATAGAGACCATTAAAGCACTAATTACGTGTATCCATCAAGCCACACTTGTAAACTCACCCTTAAAACGCTTTTTTATATTGGAACAGAAACATATTTGAAGCTCTTATCCCTCATTGTTCTATCCTTGTCAGGCCAACACAAACAACAACACATGCCGTGGCATATAGTGTGTAGAAATACCTTGCTGTTTCAGCCATCCCCTCTCTTGGATGAAGCCCATGAAGGGAGCGATTCCAGTCCCAGGGCCGATCATGATGACAGGGTTGGTGGCTTTGAAGGGCAGGCGGAACTGAGACTTGCGGATGTACATGGGAACGGTGGACTTGTGGCCGTTGTCAGTGACCAATTTGTTCTTCAACCAGTTGGTGGCGACTCCCTTGTTGACGCGGCCGGTCTTGGTGTTGTACTCCACCACCACGGCGCAGATGTGGATGCTGTTAGGGTGAACCTACAGAATAGGGGAGAGTTATCAACAGTGCTGCTAAAAACTCCTTTCAAAAGACCATGTGTAAAAATGAAGCTTGTGACAAAAGTTAAAAAGGATGGAACTCTGCCTGGCTTGGGTGATTTAAAACAGGGAGTTACCTTAGAGGATGAAGCGATGGAATAATAGCGAGCCTGGAGACGAGGCAGCAGCTCACACAGGTGGTCAATGGGAGGCCTCAAAGAAGGCATATCCTCCAGCATGGCGAGGATGTTTCTACTGGCATCCAACACCCAGTTCTGGTAGAGTGCCTGTAGAGAGGAAGTAACAAGAAGACAATAACATGAAGTATAAGAGGTAGAAAGGCAAAAAATAAAAAAAGGGAATCACAAACACACAGCACATGCATCGGCCCGCGTTGTAGGCTCAGTTAAATTATTTCCAAAATGGGTGAGAGCAGCAGTGTTTTCTATGAAAGAACAATATAATGGCTGATATTCAATTTGGGGTTAACCTGTCAACACCAATGAATCTTTACCGCCCGTCACTGACCTTGCCCTCAGGTGAGGAAGAGGCCATCTTGCGCATATTTTCCTGGTCTTTGGGGTCAGAGGCGTACTGTGCCAGCTCATAGAGGACGTTGGTACGAGGAGGGTGCGTGATGTCCAGGTAGTGAGTGAGGGCCGTGCGGTAGGTGGTGGGGCAGGGGAAAGGGTGCTTCTTGTTGGACTCCTCTGAGATATAAATAAAACAGATATTTCTTTTGTAGAATGATCTCAATGATGGTGAATGATAATTATATATATTAGTAATTTTTATAGTTTAAAAAAAAAAAGTGTATTTTCAGGCCAACAGGCCAATTTACAGCTCTAATTAATCTGTGACATAAACGCTTCACCATTGCCAACACAATATAACACCTTATATTTCAGCAATAACGTGATTACAGTAATATTAAAATATTCAATTCATTAAATGACCTGATACTGCAAGTCTAGATAGATATCAAGGATGGATTTCCGTGGGAGGTGTTTGAGTGACGAGCTAGTAAAGTCAAGGTTCTTGTGCTTTCATTGCCATACCATCAAGGTTGTTGAGAGAGATAACAACATCAAGGTCCACTCCAAGGATTTGTCCCAGCTTGTTCACCAAAGCAGAGTCATTTGTGGGGAACACAGCAACGTGGTCTCCTGACTCATATCTGAAACCACGCAATGTGACAAATGAGACTTTGACCTGTAATTCATAAAGCCTTAACAGAACATGAACCATCCATTACATCTAGTCATGTGGTGTTAGGCATATGACAAAACATTATCCTGTGGTGAACCAGTCTCACCTGATCTTGGAGCCGGTTATGTCTAGTTCAAGGTGCATAAGATGTCTATCACCAGCTTTGTTGAGTCTGCGGTTGACAGTGACCGGGGCCAGGAAAGGGTTTTTTGAATCAAAGGGCCTATGAATAAAAGAGCAACACTTAAATGTTAAAATGCCATTACAAAAGGCAGAGCATAGTCACAAAAGAGATGTAAAATCTAATTAGAAAAAAAAAAATACAAAAACATCTATTACTCAATAAATAAATGACTTTAAAAAAAAAAGGATGAATCCATTTCCCATGTCCACTAGGAGGCAGGAAGCTTCATTTTTAGAAAGTGAACTTTGAAGTCGGTTATGCATGTAGGTGAAATGTGAGACTGAGCAGACAGCACTTTAATGATAAATGGGTTATGGCAATGAACAGCTTCTCTGCCACAGTACTTACGGCTTTTGGACCTCAAAACTCTTCAGGCGGCCAATCTCTCCTGTGAACACTTTGTTCATGTTGAGGTCTGTGTGCTCCTTAAGCTCGTACTGCCGTATGCTGCAAGGGAAAATAACTTGATGTTAGCCTCTTCAGAAACTGCACGCAGACACAGTGAAATCAATTTACTTTCTAGTAAAATAAAATGAAAACTGATGTAAAGATGAAACACTTATTCTTCTTTTTCCAGGATCACGCATGCCAATTTAGGTCAAATAATACTTAAAAATAATTCTTAGCAATTATTAATTTCACATACAGATGTAAGGTGATGTTTACCATAAACCAGGTCCTGATTGAGCATTATATAACAAGTCTTAGTCAAGATATGGATGTTTGAAGTAAAGAGAAAACAAAAAAGATTTTGGCTCGAGGATCTTTCACTGCCTGTCTTTCTACTAAAGGAATTGCAGCCGACCTGAAAATATGGCCATCTTCGCTCACTGAAAAATAGGCATGTGAAAAAACTACCTTTCATGTGAGACAATGTGTTACTTAAAAGGCGGGGTCAGCGATTCTAATCCAGTACGTCTTTTTGTCAAATTCAGCGAACATCTCCTCACAGTCCGCTAGCTGTCTGTTCTGTGTGTGCGCTGAAAAAGAAAACAGTGTGTGTACACTGCCCTGGCTCTCTAAATGGGAAACAAAGTAGTACAGTGGACCACTATTCCAACCCTGTTCCAGTCACGATTTGTGTGTCACGTAACATTAAATGACTTACCCACAGACATTCAGCTTACTTTCTAGTTTACCAAGACATGCTTGATTTGATGTTAGCTATAGAAGGAGGAGAGTTGTGAGTATCGCTGTCTGGAGTTGGTTTGCTGGCTCTGGGACTGTCTCACCGTCTCTGCATGTTCGCTTCGCAGCTGCAACTTTAGCGACAGTTTGCCGATACACAACTTAGCTAACGTTAGTTACATTACTTGCCGTGTCTTTGCTCACTCTATATCATGGTATTGAATAACTCCAGAATCGCATACCCCACCTTTAAATCGAACGCATGTGTTCTGAAGTAAAAGGTGAATGTGTTTGTGAGTTCGCCTGTATAATGTTACCTATAAGATGGTAAAGAGTGAGAGTGCGAGGAAAGATTGTTGAGGGTGAAGACAAGACAATTTAAGAATCATGGGGACAAAAACAAAGTAATTGAAAAGCAATAATGAACCTTGATTCATCTCCTAAGGCTTCAACTCCAAAGTGCTCACAGACGGCCGGCCAGAACTGCTCTCTCCATGAAACAAAGTCCTCTTCCAGACTGAAACACAAAACCAGGCCAGTCAGCTGAGAAAGACAGTTGAATTCACCCTTGTGCAACAAATTAGACTTCTTATTTACAATGACAACCATGTACATTCTACAAATATAAGTAGGCTTGGGCGCTATCGAGGTGTGCCACACAGCATTTATGTTTCTCTTTTTAATGGATTTGTACTCGTATCCCAATGAGTAGCTTACTCTCACATCTATTTCTCTCTTCACTGCCTTTTTTTGCTACTACCATTACTTGTTGTTCTTCTTTGTATATTCAATCTAGTGACTGCATCCATGTAAGGGGACCCACAGTGTATGTAGATAGAAATGGCTCATTCAAAAGTAATACATTTTTGTGCTTGTGTTTTACGAGTAATATATCTTGACATTTGTTTGTGAATACTTGTTAGACTGTTCTAATATCATATTGCCAACCACGCAATTACACATACAGTGAGGAAATAAGTATTTGAACACCCTGCTATTTTGCAAGTTCTCCCACTTAGAAATCATGGAGGGGTCTGAAATTGTCATCGTAATTGCATGTCCACTGTGAGAGACATAATCTAAAAAAAATAATCCAAAAATCACAATGTATGATTATTTAACTATTTATTTGTATGATACAGCTGCAAATAAGTATTTGAACACCTGTCTATCAGCTAGAATTCTGACTCAAAGACCTGTTAGTCTGCCTTCAAAATGTCCACCTCCACCCATTTATTATCCTAAATTAGATGCACCTGTTTGAGGTCGTTAGCTGCATAAAGACACCTGTCCACCCCATACAATCAGTAAGAATCCAACTACTAACATGGCCAAGACCAAAGAGCTGTCCAAAGACACTAGAGACAAAATTGTACACCTCCACAAGGCTGGAAAGGGCTACGGGGAAATTGCCAAGCAGCTTGGTGAAAAAAGGTCCACTGTTGGAGCAATCATTAGAAAATGGAAGAAGCTAAACATGACTGTCAATCTCCCTCGGCCTGGGGCTTCATGCAAGATCTCACCTCGTGGGGTCTCAATGATCCTAAGAAAGGTGAGAAATCAGCCAGAACTACACGGGAGGAGCTGGTCAATGACCTGAAAAGAGCTGGGACCACCGTTTCCAAGGTTACTGTTGGTAATACACTAAAACGTCATGGTTTGAAATGATGCATGGCACGGAAGGTTCCCCTGCTTAAACCAGCAAATGTCAGGGCCCGTCTTCAGTTTGCCAATGACCATTTGGATGATCCAGAGGAGTCATGGGAGAAAGTCATGTGGTCAGATGAGACCAAAATAGAACTTTTTGGTCATAATTCCACTAACCGTGTTTGGAGGAAGAAGAATGATGAGTACCATCCCAAGAACACCATCCCTACTGTGAAGCATGGGGGTGGTAGCATCAGGCTTTGGGGGTGTTTTTCTGCACACGGGACAGGGCGACTGCACTGTATTAAGGAGAGGATGACCGGGGCCATGTATTGCGAGATTTTGGGGAACAACCTCCTTCCCTCAGTTAGAGCATTGAAGATGGGTCGAGGCCGGGTCTTCCAACATGACAATGACCCGAAGCACACAGCCAGGATAACCAAGGAGTGGCTCTGTAAGAAGCATATCAAGGTTCTGGCGTGGCCTAGCCAGTCTCCAGACCTAAACCCAATAGAGAATCTTTGGAGGGAGCTCAAACTCCGTGTTTCTCAGCGACAGCCCAGAAACCTGAATGATCTAGAGAAGATCTGTGTGGAGGAGTGGGCCAAAATCCCTCCTGCAGTGTGCAAACCTGGTGAAAAACTACAGGAAACGTTTGACCTCTGTAATTGCAAACAAAGGCTACTGTACCAAATATTAACATTGATTTTCTCAGGTGTTCAAATACTTATTTGCAGCTGTATCATACAAATAAATAGTTAAAAAATCATACATTGTGATTTCTGGATTTTTTTTTTTTAGATTATGTCTCTCACAGTGGACATGCACCTACGATGACAATTTCAGACCCCTCCATGATTTCTAAGTGGGAGAACTTGCAAAATAGCAGGGTGTTCAAATACTTATTTTCCTCACTGTAACAAAGTTATTTGTGCTGCACTGAACATTTCAATATCCAAAGAAATGTTAAGTCAAAGGCTAAAAGGTCACTTACTTGCCATCATCATCTCCTAAACCAAGGTCAAAGATGCGCTTGGCCCCAAGTTCTTCCAGCCTTTTATCAACATATTTTCCCATTGCATTGTAGTGTTCATAGGTCTTGTTGCCCAAAGCAAATACCTGGAGACAGAACAGAGTTAGCAGCCTTGGCTCAATCCTGAACCAAACAAACAAAAGCTGGAAATAAGAGTACTTATGATTTTCAATTATTAAAAGTTGCCATTATTAATCTAAAATTAATTAACTAGTGCAGATATTTGACTACTTTTCAGTTTAAGGGTGAACATATCATCAAGTTGTTGTCATCAGGCAATTTATTCTTCTAAAATATAAAATGAAAACAACAGGCCAAACTGATGTCTTATAAGAGGCCCTGCAAACCTCTCAGTGACTGTCATGTATGGAGCTGCTCTAATACAGACCAGAGAGACAATAGATAATACGGGAGGAAGGATGTGACTGTGCCCAAGAATTTAACTAGATTTCCTACAACACAGTTCTTCACTGAAATGAGGCCAGAGGCGCTGCATCCCAACAATGACACACACGCCAACACAAAGCCCTTTCATTAATGATGCACACAAAAGACAGACATGCAACCTGACGTAGCGTGAGGCAGAAATAGTGAACAAAATCTGCAACATTACCTCTAAAAAATATCAAATGGAAATCATTTGCATTCTTTAAAAACGGAATCACCTTTCATTATAGTGCAGGGGTGTAGGCAGCGAGCAAAACAGAAGCTATACAGTAAATGTGTACATTGAAAAACACAAGCTGCTAAGTCCATTAACCAATTGAACATTAATCTGCAAATATTTTGATAAAAATTACTTAAACTATTAATAGTTTAAGCAAAAATGCTAAATGTTTGATAGTTCCAGAATCTCTTATGTGATAATTAATTGCTTTTCTTGGTCTTAAATTACAATAAATTGGATATTTTGGGGTTTGGGTCAGACAAAACAACAATATCATTGGACGCTAGGATATTGTGATGGGCATTTTTCACTGTCTTATGATGTTGTATCAACCAAACGGTTAACTGAGAAAATAACTGAGTGTAACAGATAATCAAAATTATTTTTGGCTGCATGAAACAAAGCTCGCACGCACGCAGAACAGCAAATGTAACACAATCTCTGGTCACTGACATCATGCACACTATGCATTTTGCTTTCCCTTTAGTGCTTTGTGTTTTTCTTACTAAATGGGCAACGCACTTCCTATGAAATTACTTTTTATGACAAGTTATCCTATTCTCAGCATGCCTTACAAGCCTGAAAGAATTTGAAAAGACTTCGTGTATACTTAAACTTGAGCGTAAAGACTCACAGTGTAGTTTAGCCCGGAGAGGTCTTCGTCATCATTTTCCTGCAGCCAGTCATAGAAGTCCTGGGCATTATCTGTTGGGTCTCCTTCACCGTAGGTGGCCATGCAAAATATGGCAAGGGAGTTTTTAATATCAGACAGACGGGATAGTTCCCCCTGGAAAATGGAGACATCAGAATCAGAGACAGTGAGCACTGAAGGACTCATCATTTTAAGGAAGTTTGTCTTGAATATCAGACCGGCTCCCTCAAGAGCTTGCAAGTTATTACATACTACTAACAAATCAAAAGTATATTATCTATTCTACTACTTGTTCTCACCGCAGTGTTGCGACACATTCTTGGATAAAGCCTGAGGTCATAATATTGTGCAATTTGTATTACTGTTTTGAAATATGTGTCGATATGAGCGTGTGCTGTCCTTGGGTCTTCCATGGACATGTTTTATTTTAGAGCAGTGAATTTATAATTAGCAGATATCATATTACCCTGGCAGTTATTTGGCTCATTTAGAATCTGTATTATATTATCAAACTCACAAAAGTCTGGATGAGGCAGAAGTTTCAGATTGTCATCATTGAGGTGTGACTTCTTCAGCACTGCAGTGATGCTTTTTTTACACGACACGATCACAAATCATTTACTGGCAGCTATAATGAGTAACGTCCAAAAGAATTCTGTGGTTTGTATGTTGTTCCCCTGATGCCTATTACCATGTCATACTCCTCTGGATCCGCAGCCATTCCTTTCATGCCATAGCGCTGAGCATCTTTGGACAGTCTGTTGGCAAATTCCTCTGCTGTGCCCGTCTGGGAGCCGTAGAACACAATGATGTTCTTGCCCTGGTTACAAAGTTATGGAAAGACATTTATACGGTGCATTTAAAAACTAAAATAAAAAGCGAACCCATTTCTCATGTCTACGGGCTACTTTATGAAACATAGGCAATGGTCAAGTACAGATGCTGTAGATATTTTGAAAGATTTTGAAATTTTTATCCTTGCCTACAGTGTTGCCATGATAATTCGTAACAAAGAAAAAGACAAATTTAAATAGCACTAGGGGCCAAAAGTTATTTTCTGCCACCATCATGGTATCTGAACTATTTGCAACAAAACCACATGATTCAAAACCAAGTCTTTTTGTCAAGGCTGGCTTGAAAACAGTCAGTCAAAACAGTGTTTCTAAATCTAGAACATCTAGCATATTGTCAAGCAGGGAGGCCATTGTAGTCATCATCCACAGAGCAGAAGAAGAGGAGGGAAACAACATAGCATTTTAATTAATGTTTTTTTTCTGCCTACAGGTCATAAATCAAAATATCTGCTGAAACGAACTGAAGCATTTTAACTTGCGCATCAAACAGGTTTTTACTAAGGGGGAAACAACTTCAAGGTCAATCAACATGCGGTGAAGGGACACAAAAACTGTCTCAGGGTGATGGCTCACAGTCTTCTTTTAAAACCCTGAGTCATGTTTTGGAACAAGAGCAACAAAAAGTGCTCCTGGAGAATTTATCGACAATATGTTGGCGAAATGAAACTGCTGACCTGTAACACAAATGAAATGTGGAAATGCTGACTGAAAACAATAAAAATATCACTCACTGTTTTCTTCATTTTCTCGATGAAACTTGTCTCTCTCGTGGTGGGTGCTCTGGAAAAAACAAAACAGATTTGATTTGTTAGTAAGACATTTTAGCCCCAAATAAACAAAGACACAACCTATCCTTTATCGCAATACTTTTGATTAAAAACAAATCATTCAGCAATGACCAATTACCAAACATCAGTTGTTGGAAATATCGTGTACATAAAATCAAAACAAAAAATAAAATGTATTTTCTATCTCAGATTGTAATAGCAATTTCAAAGCTTGTTGGTCATACTTCTTTTTGACAGTGCGGTCAGATAACTTTCACACTGGAGAGGTGAAGTGCTGTGACTCAATGATCTAACTCGATCACAAGCAGAAGGCTCCAAATCTGTGTTCTGACTTCGCTGTTGGGCGTTGACCCTTTCGTTGATGTCCAGATCACAGATTATACCTCTGACCAAACAACAGGTAGGGAACAGTGGAGCATTTAAAGCTCAGATTGAGGCCAGGAAGATCAATAAAAAAGGATTCACGCCACAAGCGTTCTTTTATTTAGAGAGCAAAAGGTGACAGAATAACTAATGAACCAGGAGAAGGTAATGCTATGTTATTAAAAGGTCCCATGGGGTTATGTGGTTCAAACAAGCTCAACAATACACTAGAACTGGTCGATAAAACAAAATCATTTACAGACTTCCTTTGACTTCCAAATTAATGATTCATACTTAAACATACTAAAAACTAAGAAAAATGAATTATTTAGTTTGAGTTTTACGTGTGTGAGTTTTGTCTGATGTATTGCATAAACATCAATTTTGATTATTTTATGCGTAAAAGCGTAAACGTTTTCATTAAGGTGCCACATTGTGATAAATAATAATATCTGAAAAATACTGTATTAGCTTAATTTTATAGATTTCAGCCATATCATTTAGTCCGAATGAACAGATTTTTAAATAATCAGCATCTAAATAAATATATTGCAACCAACACTTAGGCAATGTGGGAAAACCGTCTATTCCAAGTTATTCTTACAACATCCAGGAGAAGCAGAGCGGTGACTAAGCAGCCACACAAGCGCTAGTCATGCAGACCGTAATCACAAGCACTTACTAAGCATAAGCATGCAATAGGCCCCTCGTGGTAATTCAATGGTAATTTGATTCAGGTTTATCCAGGAAGTAATTAATGGATGGGAACAGATCAAAATAACACGTGCAAACAGGGTTTGAAGAAAAAAATAAATAAAAAGGCACGGGCAGTAAAATCTATTATCAAGCAAAATTAAAGGCAACGCCGCTTCCCTTAGCATCAAAAGGTCTGAGGGAACAGCTGCAATTCTGTCTGCACTGAAAAAGGAACAAAACGGCTGCACATAACTACAAGCAGAAACAGTATGCCAGATGAATATATTTTCAGACAAGGACTGTAGGATAGCCACAAAAGCTTAGAGAAATACAGACAATACATGCTTTTGCTATATTTCACCTTGGATGTATTTAAGAGCATCTGATTTCATTTTGTCTCTCACACAAACAATTTCCAACCTACAGAACCCATCCACAGCACGGCGGTGTGCAGGCATGTGGGACTGATGCCCGACGTGGCATAACAACGGGCCCCCGTGGTTTATACAGACTGCTAACTCTGAAGCAAAGTGTAAAAGCCTTATTGAAATTTTAAACAAGCCTTTGCCCCCGAGCTGAAGCATTCCTGACAGCTTTGGCAGGATCTGTCTGAAATGTTATCAGCCGAGACACTCACCGGCCCCGCTGCCACTCAACAGGAAGGATCTTCTGTGCATCATTCGAAAAGAGCTGGGAGTTAAAAATCTATGCAGTATCTGAAAACTGTGACCGACAAAAGGCTTAAAATTATCTTGAGCGTGTGTAAAATTAAACATGTAGTAAATACAGCAAAAGATATGTTTTGATTAATAACCCCATCTTTGTAACTCCAAGTACAAACTATTATTTAATAATATTCTGATAGGTTACTTAGAGTCAAACTGGCACAGTTAGCAGATAATTAACAACACGCAAATGGCTCATAATCTTGGACATCATTTCCTTTCTCATGCACACTGGCGTTTAGTCACTGAAGTATTTACAGTGCAAGTGCATGTGTATATACTGTCAAAATCAACTTTCCATTCATGAATCCATCCAGGAACTAAACCTTTTCTAATGCTGAATCGGTTCAGTCTTCAGCTCTGCAACACAGGCTCTGTCAAACGTGGAGGTGATCATGATACACCTCACACCTGTTTTTTTGTTTTGCAACCTGGCTTTTAATTTAAAACACTCCCACCCCCTAACAAATGCTACTCTACATTTGTTTACTGATTAAACAAGGCTGGACATATGTGCAGACAATGATGGCAACATCATAAGTGACTGAACAGCATGTGAAGAGCTTGTGGAAAAAGTGTGGGGGGGCAGATGAACCAATAATTAAATTATGTTTGTAGTCGAATGCATTTTATGACCACCTCTTACATAACCTATTGGGAATGTTGTAGGCTTTGTGAAAACACTATCTTGACAGTTTATGCTAGAAACAAGTTAATGACTGTGTGCGCAGAGCTCACTTTGGAAACAAGCCACCACTGACTACTGACTTATCACTTACAAGGTGTCAAGCAAAACTTGGCTATCAAAATTAACAGCAGGATTTAACAATTATCTGTCATTAAAAGAAAACTCTTATTGTGCGTTAGACGGAGCAGTAAATCAAACACTTTACTGACCTCTCAGCAGCATCTCTCCTGTCCTCTGGCAGGGAGAAGACACAGCCCATGGCATGCAGCCCTGTAGCTCACCACTGCCACTAGCACTACTGGCTAGGCCACGCCGGGAACCGCCACGCTCAAAATCAAAAGCAGGACTCCACAACCACAGGATGGAAAAACGAATGCAGTCCAGAAAGGCAGCAGGACATTCGCAGGTTTGGAAGAGCCGCCTGCCTTCACCTCAGAGGCTCCAACACGATCTGAACTCTGCCTCTGAAACCAGCAGCGTCTGGTCTCCACACACAGAAAACTCCACCACACACACACACACACACACACACCCTACAAGCCTTGTCAGTGTCTGGCAACTGCTGAGGACACAATGGTGGGAAACTGACTTTCCCATAAAACGTAGCTGAGCTGCAGACCCACACTTTTGACTCACAAACACACACTGAAACACTCTCGGGCTGAAAATGCCTTCCTCCTTATCCCCGCCCCTTTTCCTCTCCGGTCTGAAAGGTGTTGGGAACGAAAAAGTCCATAAGATCCATTCTGAGAATTTGGCTGGTTATCAGAGAGACTCCTCGGTGGGGAGAGCTGTGAATGGTAGTTTCTTTTTTTCTTTTTTTCCCTGAAGGATCCCCCGCCCCCATCTCACTGGAGGAGAGAGGGGAATGTCATTGCTATGGTAACCTCATTTATCATAAAAGGATTTCATTTGTGACATGGCCCTACTCCAATGGCAGAGCAGCTCAGCCCACACATGCACACACCAAACTGAAAAGAAAAACAGGGGAGTGGGGAAAAGAAGAATGAAAAAAAAAAAGTAAGTAACTCAGGGCAAAGAAAGGGTTGCTTGTCTTTTGCCTCAACTTTCCACCTTTGGAGAGGACTCACAAAAGGAGCTTGGCTCGCCCTCCTCGTTTGCTCTCCAGGGAACTTTCAAAATGGGTTCAGGGCCAAAAACAAAAGCACAGGAAAGACATGGAAGACTACGCCCCCTTCATAACAGTTAGGTAATCACTGCTCCCTTTAAGGGGAGGGGAGACTAGCTTGTGCTGCTCCATATTCCCTTTCCTGTATTCCCTCCCTCCACAGATACACAATCCTCCCAAAGCAAATCATGCTCTACGGGGGTCTTTCCCCCTTTCTAGCAGACCTCCTGTTTTCACACAAATGGCCCCCACTCAGTCTCCATTCTCACAACCAGCAAGACCTCGGCCACACAGCTCCTGCTGGCCCGTGGCTTTACTCTGGTGACCAAAGAAATTGTGATGTGGTTGGGGAGGGACTTAGAAATGTGACCAATGGATGGAGAGTCCATTGAAATCAAGCCAAGCCCCCATTACTCCACTGATAAGTGATGAAAGGAGACAACAGGACAGGGAGAGAGGACACAAAGGTTGTTTCTAGTGGAACATTTACAAGCTCTAAGCCGTGCACTCTCACATACTTGCCTCAGGGCACATTAGTGACAACTTGACGACCCACTGTACTCGTTTCTGTCTAATTTCTTATCATGTAATAAGACACAGGCAGATTATTGGATCACCTATACTGATCTACAAGTAAATATACTCTAATGAAGACTCTGATTAAATAAATAGCCTCTTACTACACCAAGATAAAATGAATAAATGACAAAACATGACCACACACACAGCTTGTTTCTTTATTCCGCAGCAGCCTTCATTATTTTAATATATTTAGATATAGTCAGATCTACACTGGAACCTGCTTATCCTCCAAACTATGTTTTAATTTAAACCCAGGTACACCATGACAGATACTCACGGTGTGTCGAGCTTCTTGAATTCAGGGATGGGCTCCGGCTTCTTGCGGGACATGAACCAATAAATGACAAGGCCGACAATCAGGGAGAAAAGGAAGAGGTCCAGGTTGCTGAACAGAGACTCCTCTTCATCCGCCATGGGCTCGGTGCGGGTGGGGGTCTCAGCATCCATGTCTGTGATAGTTGACACTACATGCAGACAAAATAAAACACAGCTTTAGACCAGTCTACTAGTCAATCATTTTTTCCCCCCATTTATCGAGTGGAGCAAATATTTGCCACTTCCAGCTCATATGATTGTATAATAAATCCATTTGGGTTTTTGGACCGTTGATTAGACTAAATAAACAGTTTGAAGACATTAGTTTTGACTCTGGGGATGTTATTTTTTCACTATTATACAGAAAAAAACTTTCCAATAGATTTATTTATAAGTTAATCATTATCTTTATAATGGTTATATAAACGACACAGATTAGGATAATATGTGCCATCAAATGCCTTTCTTGTACCGAATATTGTTTGTTTTTCTCAACTTGTGATGAATGTGTTTAAGATAAGTTGCAAGGACAGCAAGCTGTAATTTAAAATCTGCATTTATTAAAATAATAATAAATCTATTAAGCCTCTGGTTAAAATTCCAGCTGAACAAAACTGGTTAACCTGCTGCACAGAACTATGACTGCTAACGTGAGTGTGAGCAGTATTCTTCCTGCCATATCATACAATGGCAGCTTTTATGCAAGCATTATTGGACATTTGGTTCTAGTCTATTCTCTAACATTGTAACCCGCTGCATTCGATCCATGAAGTTTATCTTGTCGTGTACCAACAACAGCGGCTCTTTTCACACTGAGCACGAAAGGACTTCATGTTCTGAGCGCTCAAGTTTCAGTTTGGTTCAAGGAGTGAAAACAATGAGACTTGTTTTGTTTTTTTTAAATCTGAAGTGGACTCAACTAGAGAAGAGTTTGAATGACACAGCCATGTACACACTAGACTGCTGACTCACTGATATGTTAAATCACCACCACTTCAACTTATATGTACAGAGGTACCAGTGTACCAAACACTTGCTGGTGATTCACAAATAGAACAATTAGATATTTTCCACAGAAAAGTGAACTGCAATGTGTGTGACCATCTTTTACTAAATGTCTGACATTATTTACTGGAGCATTTTCTATAATCAGTGATAGGTGATTAATAATCACCAGACAACAAGCATTTCAAACCAAGTCAGACACTAAAATTAACGTGACAGTAGCTTTGTCAATATGTTTACCTGGTCTGTCAAAATTGTTTAGTTTTATAATAGCATCCAATTGTGCCCTAAACCAAATATATCGCCTGACCAATGCTGGATGTTTAAGGCTGATAGATGTTTAAGCGTTTTAAAAGTCTGATAACAATACATTAGCCAATAGTCTTTTTTTTTTTTAAACATAAACACTTAATGTGATAAGGATTTTGTTTTTTAAAGAATTGTGATAAGTGGAACATTTCATAAAATAAACTGTAAAATAAACTAAACATGCAAGTGGCATTTCTGTACAGATCAGATATATTCACAATGAGCTTACATTAGACAATATATCTGCCTGGCCAATTTATTGATTGCTCCGTATGGATGCTATATTTTCCAGTTTGTAAGGTACGCCTAGCTAAAACCCCATTTATATCAGTAAGGGTAGAATAAATATTACATTAGTTTTAGCTAGATGTACCTAATAAACTGCCAACTGACGTGAAGCTAAAAAGGTAATGGCCGCAAACTACATCACTTCTCAGTCTTCGGTCTGTTATGATATAGTATCCATACCTACTTTCCTTGGTGACCTCCCCGCAGGATTAATTAGCAGCCCAAACAGAAAACACAAGTGCCTCCTCTCTCCAGTTCACAGTGTGTTTTACATGGATATTAAAAGTTACAGACAAACCTAACAACATAGGCAACCTTTGATGTGATAACTACACATTTAATTACTAATTCTGTTTTTTCTTTGTTTATTTCTCACACACGTTTGCCCTGTCAAAGAAAATACATGAGGGAAAACAAGAGCTTACCTGATAGATCAAGTTCACTTCAAATTTAAAAGTTGTTCAAAATAACAGTCTGCTTGTTTTCACACTATCCCTAACACCTCTGACACAGTGGGTAAAGCCACAGAGTTGACAGACACACTATGTATCATTACACTGTAGGTTCAACTTCACGCCAACGCCTGGTTAACTCTTATCATAATCATGTGAGAGTTTGATTAGTTGCCAAGTTAAATACATTTCAATAGCTGTCCCACTAGGGTTTTAAATGATCAACGAACCAGACATACCCGAAGTTCACTGGAGTTCACCCTCACAATTCACCTCTTTCTGCTCAACTTGAACAGTTTTGCAACAGTCGAGATACTAGCACCGGTTTCAGACAGCGTGTGTGTGAAGCCCAACGTCATGAAACGTAGACACCAGTTTAACTAGTTTTGCTAATGAGATGTTTTAATGTTAAGAAATACCCCTTTAGATAAAACGAGGAAAATGACAAGGATAGCCAGCGGGAATGAACTTAGGGCCCTGGCTATTCCCTGGACCGTGACAACACTGAATAAAAACAATGTGCTGTTAAAAATACATATACACATGTTAATTAAGAAACTAAACAGTGTTGGGTGATATCTGATAGGTACAAAAGCTAATTAAATCTAATGTATTTTACACATGCTAAGAAACGACCTATAAGTTAGCCTCATTTTGCGTAACAGTGGAGTCAGCATTTCTCTTAAGCTAATGGTTCAAAGAAAAAGATGAACATGTCTTCTGTACTTTAGGTTTCAAGCTCCGGTGTTAATCTATCATCGCTGACGTGTAATTCCCCCAGACTGCCACAGACTACAGCGTGATGTAAAACCTTTTAAAAAGGTGAGTTAGGTCTTGTGCTTACCTTTGCCTCCACTCTTTTGTGCCAGGCTGACACTGTGCTCAACACGGAAGGAAACTTTACGCCATGTAGGATCAAACCAACTCGGTCCTGGCAGCGGGGGGGGAGAGGACTGTTGCACTTTCAACACCAAATAAATCTTGCATAGGGATATATTCTTTTTAAGAAGATACGGGTGTGTTTGTGATTTTAAATGGTTCAAAGAAATTAAGCGTGTTTATTTTTTCATTTTATTTCAATTTGGACCGGTGTACAAAGATAACCCACTACGATAAATAACTGTTGAGGTGCAGCAGGCAAAGGTTCATGGTTATGTAATACAATCAGCAGGACAAACTGTGTATCCATGACAGATTGAGAGGCAGAGGTGTTTATGTTGACATAACCTAGGACATATGTTTCACAGTGCAGTAAACCCTATGGTTGTTGTAAAGAAAAAGTAAAGCCATGTTATAAAAATACTTATAAAGTTCAGAACTAGAAACACCAAAATGTATTTGAAGTATCAAAAGTAATAGTAATCATTTGGAAGTATATTGACCCCTGTCAACTCAGGGGTAACTTGGTGCAGCTACTTAAGTAACAATTTTGAACTTTACTTATTATTATTGGTATCTTAACTGTGCGTGTGTGTGTGTGTGTGTGTGTGTGTGTGTGTGTGTGTGTGTGTGTGTACATATATTCATTGTAGATATTCCAATACTCATTTATGCAATTCAGATAAAGCACTTTGCCATATCAATAAATAACAATATACTGTACAGTATCTACTGGACATGCATTAACCATGTACATAATATTACCAGGCACTATCATTGTCTGTGTTAAGAGTATTTTACTACTTTTTAGTTTTAGTTCAATCTCTAGTTAAGAAGTTATCTGTTTTTGTACTATGACAAATAACTGTTGAGGTGCAGCAGGCAAAGGGTCATGGTTATGTAATGCAAGCAGCAGGACAAACTGTGTATCCATGACAGATTGAGAGGCAGACTCATCAAATATTAAGGGTGTTTATGTTGACATAATTAAGCACATATGTTTGACAGTGCAGTAACCCATGTGGTTGTTGTAAAGAAAAAGTAAAGCCATGTTAAAAAAATACTCTGTTATAAGAAAAAGGCTTGCATTCAGTCTTACTAAAGTTCAGAACAAGTAACACCAAAATGTACTCGAGGTATCAAAGGTAATGGTAATCATTTGGGAGTATATTGACCCTTGGCAACACAGGAGTAACTTAGTGGAGCTATTAAAATAATGTACCTAAGTACAATTTTGAACTTTATCTATTAGTATTTGTATCTTAACTGTGTGTGTGTGTGTATGTGTGTGTGTGTGTGTGTGTGTGTGTGTGTGTGTGTGTGTACATATATTCATTGTAGATATTCCAATACTCACTTATGCAATTCCAATGAAGCACTTTGCCATATCAATAAATAACAATATACTGTACAGTATCTACTGGACATGCATTAACCATGTACATAATATTACCAGGCACTATCAATTTTATTAGTATTTTACAATTTTTTAGTTTTAATTCGATTTCTAGTTAAGAACTTATGTGTTTTTGTATTTCTATCTTCTTATGTACCTCTTTGTGAATCCTTATTATGTTTGCGGATTGTTTTTCTGCAATTTCCCACTGGGATTAATCAAGTACTCTATCTATTTGTGCGTCTGGCTTATACTTTATACCTCTCGTCCAATGTATTTCACAGGGAAATGTCCACTTTACAGTACTTTTTACTCCACTCCATTTAATTAACAGCTATAGTTACTTTTCAGATTGAAATTTAAAACTAATCACTATGAAATATGAAGCATTGTTATATAATGAACTATCTAGTGTAACATTAAAATTAGCTCCACCTTGAAATGACAACATTTAAGTACTGCTAACATGTTAATATATCAATAATAATGATGCAGTGATATGCAGTAATATACCACTGACAGGGGCAATTGTGCAGAATGACATTTCATAGTTTAAGTTTTATTGCTAATATTCCTGTATTAAATTAAACATTTGAAGGCAGGTACATTTATAGCACAGTGTTGTAGTTTTATCTACAACAAGTCTTATTTTAAATGCTCATCACAGATTTTGTATATAAAATCTTAATATGCAAAATAACTAGTTTCTATTGCTTTTAGGTAAACGTTGTGGAGTAAGAAATACAGCATTTTCCTTTGTAATGTAGTGAAGTAGTACAATAACAGAAAATTGATGTGCTTAAGTAATAACAAGTAATTTAAAATTATACTTAAATACATTACATGAGTGAATGAACCAAGCTACAACCCGGTCTTCTGTTAAGGCTGCAATGCTTTGCATTGTTAGCTAAACACAGGGAGAAGATAACTGATTAAAGTAAACATAATGACATAAAATGGGATGTGGTTTTTTAATCCCTGCAGGGAAACTCTGAATTTAGAGACCAAACTTGAAACAAATGAATAAAGGGCAGGGATAGAATCAGACAGATTCAGACACACCTATGCACAAGCACAAACTATGTAGAAATACTAAAAACAGCTTCACAGAGGATGGTGTGATGATATACTTTATTGGAGGGTGCTTTTGTTTATTTTTTTTATTTTTCATTTTTATGTAATTTTACTAATTACATAATTATATAAATATAAGAACATGGAGGTATTGTGGATCATAATCTACCCTCAGTGGTGATCGATTATTACACATTATAACACAATTTTTATATTACTGTATCTACTGTACATATTTTGTAATAATTGCCATTAGACTTATAATAATTTTATAAGATAATAGCACGACAAATATTGTTAATGATGGCAATAATGATGATGAGTTTTAATTTGCAGTGGAACATGTAAGACACCATTTTGTAGAGATGTTGTTTTTTTTTCATTTATTAGTATATATCACATATTCTTTAGTTTCTGATTCCTGCTCTTCAGCTTCTGGCGGACCACGGCGACAGTAGTGAAGAAGTTTCCCATGAACAGAATAAGGAAGCAGAGACCACACATCAGGACCTGGCATCACGTGGAACAGAGAGAACAATATGTGAGGAAGCTTAATACAGTGTAGCTCTATACAGGTAGATTTCACAGAGAAAAACTATTGAAAATAGATACAAAAATACATTATAATGTAACAGTAGAATGTCAGTAATATATCTGATCAAATGTGAACACAGTGTTCTGGCCATACAAATAGTAAGCCCTCTAGTTGTACATTGTAAGAAAATAATGAGGTATTAGTGCCGTGTAGATGGAAGATGAATAGATACAGTACATTTGAAAAGCAGGAACGTGGCAATATGAAAATTGGTGACCTTGAAAGCACTGACCTGCCATTCTTTACAGTCTGGGAGCTGAGCCATTTTGAAGAGAGAGAGGCTATTGAAGAGCTGCCAGAACTACAAGACAAAACATGAGACTTAAGGGTTTTGTTTTGTTAAAAGTGAATGGATATAGTTTGCATCTGCACGAACACAAGACACACTAAAGGTTAAGATGTTTTCCAGATAAGTTTGCTTAACCAATACCACAATATAGAAATGCTCTGTCACAAGTAAAAATCATTGCACTTAAGTAAAAGTACAGAAGTATTCTCAGAAAATTATCCCTGGAGCTGATATATTATTATTATGTAATACATTATTAGATTGTTAATACTGATGTATTAACATGTCTACTACTCTGTATAGAATTTAGTCCAGTGCTTCCCGAATTAGGGTGTGGGCATCCTCCAAAGGGTCACAAGATAAATCTGATGGGTCGTGAGATGATAAATGGGGTAGGAAAGATGAAAAAACTCAATTCTGCTTCAAAAATCTGTATTTTGGGGAATATTCTTCCACTGAAATGTAATCCCAATTGGACACTGTTTTTTGTAAGCAGCCACACAACAAAAGAGCAGGGAACCACTGGTTTGATCTTGTGTTGTATTATATAAATGTATCATCATTGTTAATATAAAATCTTAATCTGAAGAGTCACTTTAGCTGTCAGATGAATATAATAGAGTAAGAAATATGAAGTTGTATAAAATGAAAAGTACCTCAAGACTGTACTTTAATTGTACTTACTCTCCACCACTTACCTAAATACGCAGACTAACATTACGTCTAGAATGACATCAGCGTTTTTTGTGTCATCCAGTCTAAACCATGACAAAGCATGATTTTTAAAGCAAACTAAGGAGTAGTTAGAGGAAATTTCTCAAGATCAGTTTCAATCCTTCTGTGTCACAGACTGTATACTCACATGACCAAAAAAGAGGAAGGGCAAAAGAAACGTCAGCCCTTTCCACATCCACGACTGAAATCCCTCTATAAATAGAAAGCAGATAAGAGTTTAAAGTGTTTGGCTTTTTTCTTACTCCCACTTATGCATCTGTCGTTACAGCAGTGACGACAAGCAGCCCCAGACATGGTTCTCAAAAGTGCTACTAAATATTTTTAATTATGAAATGCTCAGTGCGTCTGTATTCCATGTCCTTGGTGTGTTACAGTCTATCTCACCCACGGTCAGATCCATGTTGTGTCTTTCTCCCAGAGCTCGCAGTCTGTACAGACACCCGCTCTGATAATAGCACTGCAGACACTGAACAAAACCTGCGTGTTCCAGATGAAAGAAAAACTGATCACGCTTTGGTATGATTTAGAAACGTTTCAACCATGTACTTATCCCAAGTATTTTGACCTTACTTTGGTACAAGAAGTAAGCAAGGAACTGGTTCCTGAATGTCTTGTACAGGTTCCCATCTGGCCTTGGTTGTGAAACAGAGGAATTTTATTATTACAAAGAAACATTTTTTATGGATATGTCTTTCTCTAACAGTAACAAAAGGCGTTTCATTGTTTCTTAATTTGTTACTTATGATTTTTTAATCTTCCTCTGCTCACCATGTCAGCATTACACCGGACAGAAAAGCTGAGACGTAGTGATGAGAAACCCACCAGCCTTTGATTCTGTGATGCAGGACACATTTCATTAGATATTTTCATTGGATATTGGATATTCATTGTATGTTAGTGACTTGCTTAAAGAAGAAGTTTCTTTTAATATTGTAAGTTCAGAGAGCTAAGAGTAGGTTTTATTTATGAAAAACATGGCTCATTTTTGGTTTGGTTGGAAAGTTTGAAGCTTTTTATACACAGTCTATGGTTTGAAGGGTGATATAGGGCTGACCTGGAGCCGTTGGCAATGAGGATGCTTTCCCTGATAGTTAATGTACAATAGTACCACACCAGCAGGAAATTGAAGATTGCATCAAGAAATCTAAAGTCAGGGACACATTAAGAAGAAGCGCTGGATTTAGACACCAGTACATGTAATGTTTATGAAGCTGTGATGTGCGATATGTTGATGCTTACCTGTAGCTCACAAAGAAATAGCAAATGAAGGAGAACAGCAGCAGGAAGATTGTGAGGTACAGCTTGAACTTCTCATATTCATCTTTGTAGGCAAATCTGACATGGATGTAATGAATTCCGGTCTCAATATACAGTGCAAGGCATTTCAAAACTAATGACACAGGCTGAAAATCATTAGCCAAGGAAATGTTTGATTTAGGGAAATAGGGGATCTTACTAAGAGATCTTTTTAGGCTACTGGAGCATCAATGATTGGATCATAATTCTGTGATAAATAATCTCACCACGTGAAAGCACACAACCCTGGCTGAAAAATGCTTACTTTGACTGCTTGCTGAGTAGAGTGACATTCACATTTCCCAGAACCAGACTGAGGTACAGCCTGCAATTTGAAACAATATTATTTTTGTTATTTAACTTTATATGTGGAATTAACTTTAATACATGAAATACACCTGTTTTAATGTATTTTAAGCATCAACATATATTGTAGTAGGCCTTTGATTAAATAGAAGTCATCACCCATTTTTCTTGGGAAGGAAAGCCTCCATTTCAAAGAAAGCATTTGGTCGCGTCTTTATTTTCTCTTTTATGTCATCCAAGGTCTTAGCATCTTCTTCTGATGATCCTGTGGTGCATCTGATGGATAGTATAATTGCACAAGATAGGTCTGTGTGTTTGACACAACATGACGTGTGTATCTTTGGTTCCATATCAGTAAGCTTTGCTTTTACCGCGTGAATCTGTGTGCATATAGTATTTGTGTGTATGACTGTATGTACTCTAAATGTATGTGTTTCCATGCAGGTTTGTGTGTGCATGTGTGTGTGTGTTAACTTGCTTTTTCACTTGGCGAGATACGTCCTTTAATCTTTTGCGCTGTATGGAAATGGAGGAAGAGCAGCTGTTTTGCAGTTTGGAAATTTCATCCAGTTTCTGTAAGTACTTTCTGTGTGTCTCCTGGATGAGAAGAACATGGAGTTACCTCAATAACCAAAGAAAATGTAGGTTATGAGGAGCATTTCAACTTTCTTTGGAATACGGAGATTACAATCTTGAGCACAAGCAAGATTTTTTTGACGTGAAACCAAGCAGGTATATGGCAGTTTTACCAGAGGTTTAACTCTTCTACATTTCATCCTGTGGTGTGAGTAACACAACAGCAAACAAACGCTATGTTAAGCACGATTTATACACCTGCTCTATGTAAATAGTCTGATACTGTCAGCTGACTTTTGTCCATTTCTTACCTGAAGTTGTTGATACTCTTCTTCCAGACATTTCCACTCCTCCAGAACGGCTGGTAAGCCTTGAGGCATTTTGTAAGTACTAATCTATCACAAAATTTTACACACTGCTCTGGCAGCAACTAAAGACCCACTTAAAATAAAAATCCAGTGAGGTTTTATAATTGTTTAACCAGCAAAGGCTTGCACATAGTGAAGTATTTTTTTCTAGGGTGTGTATGACATCTCCATGGAGGGTTTATTGCTTAGAGTGAACTTTGACTGGTACAAATGTGCAAGATTTTGACTTTGATATTGTTCAGGACATTATCTGGTTATCACATTGATCCATTATCACTCACAGAGCCAAATGTAAAAGGTTATTGTATATCATAGGCCTATGCAATGTAGTGAGGGATCTGTATTTTACCCTTGCCATGCTTCACCCAGCTCCCTGTCACTTACACAGCTGCATAGTAGCAACACCTGGTGGAGGAAATTACTAATTCAGTTATCAACTCACTTTACCACTGGTGTGGAGGGGGCCTGTACATAATAGACAGACAGCAGAGGAGTGTCTTACTGTAATATTTTACAATCTCTTTTTGATTAAATAAAAAAAAAGAAAAATAATAAAAAACATTTGCTGGCCTGTACTCTGTACAAATTTGAATTTTTTGAACTAATGGTTTAAGAATAAACAAACTTCAGGTGCAGGTCAACATAAGTGACACTGTATATAGATATTATTTGACTACTGTTGCTATACGTCTGCTGACCAGTGATTTATCATCAAATCTACCAGTTTAAGAAAGACAAATCGCAGTGAGACGTCTTTCAGTAGAAAAATTTTCCCCCCCAAATGTGTAAAGATTTGTTGAAATGCCGCTTTTATTCTGAAATATTCGAGCGGAAGTGTCGTTGTTGACGCCTGTAGAAGATGGCGCATGCGCGTACAGCTGACAGCGGCCGGTTCGTGTGTTGTCAGAGACATCTGTGTGGTGCAAAGCTGGCTGGAGCTGTGGAGGAGAGGCCAGTTCATCACTTTATCTACACGTAGAACTCACACTGGGACTACCTAGGTTAGTCAACACGAAAAAAGAAAGACAACCAAAGAATTTTATGACAAAGGTAAGATTTCGTCTTGTGAGCTTAGCTCAGCTAACGTTAGCTTATTTTAGCTAACGTTAGTCGCTATCGTCAGTGAGCTGGTTAAAGTTATCATTTTACAGGTTTTGCAACTGTGTTATCAAAGAGAAATTATGTCATTAATATACCTAATACATTTTCTGACTTTAACCCCTTTCTCCAACGCTGAAACTCAAAACTATCACACTGACATTGAATGAGTGACAATAAAAGCTGAAACTGAATTGTGCTGTCTGTGAAGCTGCGGTGGCTTTTTATTAATGAATGTTGGTGGGGAAATCTCAGTCTGAAAATCACACAAGTTTGTGCCTGGCATCTAAAACACGAGAGGCACAAACTAGTCCTGCATCTAACACAGAGCCTGTATGATTAATAGACACTAATAATTGATTGTAATTTTAATAATGGGTAAATAACATCCATAATTTTCTGTGTATAAATTCTAAACATTTGCAAATATCCTTTTATATCGGCTAAAAATGGGATAAGTAAGCAGCCTAAAGACATTACTTTGCCCGTTTCTCATTTTTGGTATTTTGTGTAGTGATTTACTAATATGATAAAATATGTATTAGTGGAAGCTCTGCTCTCACTGTTCCTTAGTTAAACTCAAGTCAGTGTTTGGATGGACTGTGAGCTTGACGATATCCTGCTTCACTGTTGATATTAACTCTGATCGTGTTGTGTTTGTTTTACAGCCGACCGATAGGAGATGTGTGCTGCTGTGTATGTCCTGTCAACAGTAACGGGCTACGTGCTCACCTCTGCCCTGCTGCTGAAATGCCCGACTCTTTTGCACCGGAGGAAGAGAGAGACATTTCTCAGCAGGCATATTTCCCATCGTGGAGGTGAGTCTGTCATAATTTGTAACATATTTGCGTACTTTTTATTCAGGAAGTGATTTTGTATATGAAGATGATGACGTCTTGGCCCATTTAACTGCACATTTTACAATGTCTGTTGTCAGAAAACCGTATCATCATAGCCATATTTGAACAGTTGCAACATATTTGTGATTATTATTAAGAGACAGGTATAAGTGATGTGTAAATATTTTTGCTAATTAGATATTTTCTTACTGTAACCCAAGTTATTGGGATTACTTTAAGTTCTCACCAAGCGTTAGTTAATTACTTACAAAGTAACAAGAGGCCTATTGTTCAGTGTGTGGCTATATTATCCACCTCTGGTCAGGCTCTTTTATTAATGGTTGTATTTGCATGGTTTTGGTTATATTGCAGTTTATTTATCACAGTGCGTCCATCACACAGGATTGTCACTGTTGTTTATTGCCTGATATGCTGTAGTAGTCGTTATGGGAAATTGTTTTTTATCAGTGAGGGCAATGTTCTAGCTGTGGGTCCCTCAGTAATGCAAATATAAAGAAAACACCGTACCACATTTTGTGTTTACTTTACAGGAGCAGGCGAAAACCTGGAAAACACGATGGCAGCTTTCAAGCAGTGAGTAGAAACTTACATCACAATGACAAAGCTTTCTTTGGTTTTTGTGTGTGCGTGAAATATAACTGGTGCTTGCACTTGTGATTGTGGGCAGTGTGTGTCATCTGAGCTTGGCTTGTGACCACGGTCTGTGATGTCTGTCTGTCTTTCCCTGCTTATCCACACTTGAGCTCACAGGCAGCGATGATGCCTTTATATAATTGTTAATATCAAAGCCTCAGATTAAATACTGCTGCTGGGAGTGGGAAGCAAAGTACTTCATACTGCCTCTGATGGTGACCTCAATGACCACAGTGGTGAGATTAACAATAAAAGTCACTGGAGACTCCCAGGTACAGTGATAAATTCAACATGTGTGTACTGTGTGTTGGTTCATGCAGCGCTGTGGATCTTGGCACAGACATGCTGGAGTTGGACTGCCACTTGACGAAAGATGAACAGGTAGTGGTTTCACATGACGCCAACTTGCGGAGGGCCACTGGCATGAATGCCTACATCTCCGACGTGGCCTACGCTGTGAGTTACTGCTCTGCAATATCTCCTCAGTGATCCCATTTCTATATCTCGCAGAGAAACAACTAAATCTCCCTTTCAGCTCTAAAGCTTGTTTGGCCATTTTTCCTTTTTTTAGGCAAAATGAAGAAAGGAAAATGTTAATGATGATTTATTAATTAATCAGATAATGTAATTATTGAAAAACCTGGGCATTTGTTTATCTTGCAGTCTGCATTAAAGGCTCCCCGTGGAGTTTTAGACCTCTAGTAGCGCTGCAAAGCTGTTTTCCTATGAGTAGATCCTTGATTTGTTTGTCTCGTGGACGTGCATTATGATGCACATGCTGAATGATAAAGTGCACATTCCTGTCAGTGGTTTCACACTGTTTCAATGTACAACCGGTGGCAGTAACATGCTAAGATATGCAGCAATGCGCCAGCAAAGGCAGGAAAGAAGACTGCAAGCTAATAAACATGGATGTAAACAATGCAGAAAAAACAGCTTTGCACATGTTTACTGATGAAGGAAAGGCATTCAGCGGGTTTGTTATGCCTCAAGCATACAAATAATTAATTTTAGTGATGAACACCAAGTGCAAACTTGTTTTCTAGAACCTCCACAGGGCACCTCTAACATTTAAAAGACACAGAGGTCAAGAGGTCCTCATATATAGAGTTAAAAACTTGAAACCAACTCAAACAACAGTTGCATGTTGTGTGCTGTGACTTACGTAATTATGTATACATGAGGTAACCACATTGATGGATCATGTGGCTTGATCAGATGAGGTCCATAACCAGTCACCTGATAGGTCACATGATGAACTTTTGCCTGATTTAGAAAAAATCCGATCCAGCAGAAATTCCTGGCGAGTCAGTGGATTAATTGTTGCTCACTTGGGATCTCTGCTCTGCTCTGTTGTACACATCTTTAATGTCCTACACTTTTAATGGATAATGGAACAAAGATCTTTGTTTTCCTCAGAAGCCTTAACAAAGTTCAGTTTTACTGCTCTTTGGCCGTGTAGTACAGAGAAGCACAGAGTTCCTTACATTTATCTTGCTTTGGCGTGTCTTTGCTGGGTTCCTGTCTCTTCTATATTGCCATTAATGTGAACACCCTCAGGCAAACTCATCATGCTACCCCTGGACCTGACCCAATCACACATTCTCTGAATCTCCGCTGTATTTCTTGTCCGTTAACCACTGAGTGCTATGTGCTCTTTTTCAGGAGCTCCCTCCGTACCTCTGCAAGCTGGGTGTAACCTTTCAGAGGGGTGAGCATCACACACCCATGACTGGTGTGATTACCACAAAGCTAACACCACTCAAATACAAATGCATATCCGCAGCGTCAGTATCAGTGTGATTGTTTTTGAACAAATATCCCAGCAGCACAATGGACCTATTCATCTGCAACATAATTACAAGGATCTGCTGAATGTAGTGAATGTATTTAGTTGACTTTTAACAGATAATATAGTTTTAGTTTACAAGCTGTTGGCAAGAAAGTCACAGTTGAAATGATTAATACACTTGGGCCAGCGTGCACCCTGCCTGTCATGCTGCTGACTGTGATTTCCTCTTGTCCTTGTCTGTGCAGAGTGCTTCTGCGAGGGTGGAGAGGACAAACGCATCCCTCTCCTCAAGGACGTTTTTGATGCATTTCCTAATACGCCTGTCAACATTGACATCAAGGTCAACAACGACACTCTTATCAAGAAGGTGTGTGTGCGCTTGTTTGTGTCTCCTCGAGTTTTATTTGGTGCTTAAACCCTCTTATAAAAACAACATTTTCTCTTTTTATTCTTGTTTGCCACTATCCCATGGCATGTCTACTTAACAACAGTTGCTATTCACAGATTCTAAGCTGTATTTTTAACATTTGACCTTAAAAGCAGCATTAGTGGTTACCTCTTTGTGTATCAAATGTGTGTGTAAACAGGCAGAAACTCAGACTAAGATCCATCATTGTAATGTTACCCCAGTATCCTCAAATTGCAGTTGCAGTTACCTTAAAGACTATGTGTGCTCCTCAGCAGTCACAAATATGACTGTCAATAAGTAACATAGAATGGAAACAACATTTCTGATTCATGTTTCATATCTGTGTACCACGTATTCTATGGAGTTTTTGTAGTAATGACTCATTAATCCTCGCAGGTCTCTGAGCTGGTTGTTAAGTACGACAGAGAGCATCTGACTGTCTGGGGCAACGCCAGCAACCAGGTTGTAAAGAAGTGTTACAAAGAGGTACATTTACAGGAAGTTACCTTTATGTCCAGTCAATTCAGGGAGTCAATCGCTAACCCTAACCCTACCCCTAACCCTAAAACACCTGCTACAGTTAGTTAATGTGGATAAGGTGCCACTTTCCACTGGAAATCCTAAATCTGTTACGTACTGTAGGTGGCTCACTGTAGGGTGGAAAAAAATCCTCTTTTGATCGCCTGCCTGTTTTTCAAAATGTTCAAATCAAATGTAGAATCGCATAAATTATCTCAAGACCCTGATATCCTTTTTTTCTGATGGATAACATCACATATCACCAGCAGTGGCTGAATTTAAGGGAGTTGACCTTAAATTCATGTGTTATATCTGTGTTTTGTAGAACCCTCGTATTCCTGTGTTGTTCAGCCTTCCCAGAGTATTGCAGCTGTTAGGCCTCTTCTACACCGGCCTTCTGCCCTTTGTTCCCATCAAGGAGCAGTTTCTGGAGATCCCCATGCCCTCTATTATGACCAAGTAGGTACACATAACAAAATAGGATTAAATTAAAAAGAGATTTACTTTTACCGCTTTTTGTTTCCAGGAGAGGTTAAGTCAGTAGCATTACACGTACTACTGATAATCTTTCAACAAGTACACAACATCAGATAACAGCAGGTCAAAGGTTGGGGTAAGAATTTCTTTTACCCTTTCAAGTCCCAGCGTAGCCTCTATGTGACAGAGTGTAACAGGATTAAACTATAATTCAGCCCCCAAACTCTAAAACGTAAAAGTAAAGTACAAACAAAATACAAACATGCTGTTTAGTTGAAAGTGTTGGCCAAAGTGAGCAGATGAGAAAAAAAAAAAAAAAAAAACACTTCAATTGATATTGGCAATACTTTTCAGCTGCAGCTCATTATTTCATTAGAGACAATTGTCCTTTTGATGCTACAAGTTGATCTTAAAAATCTTAAATGATGATACCCTGTTTGTAAGAGGGAATTTGTTGTGGGATTGAGCTTAAAGGTTCATTATCAACATTGAAAATAGTAGGTTGACCAAAGCCAAACTTAGCACAAGGTCTATTTACTGGGAAGTTTCCAACCTTTCAGCCACATCTTATGGCCTTCATCAGACACCAGGGACAAACCGTGAACAGAGACAGGGGCGTTACCGCTTGACCGAAGTTCCATACTTAACCGTATGAGCCAACTCTATCTGCAGATGAAGGCCAAGAGGTGTGACTAAAAGCCCTTGAAATTTTCGGGTAAGGGACCTTGTGCTAAGACTTGTTTGTGTGGAATAGTGTGGTATTTGGCTTGCTGTTGATATAGTGGATTTTAAAAGGTACACACACAGATTTGACTTTCTTTTCTCTAATTAAATATACTTACTATGTATATACACTATATATTATATATTACTCTATATCTGTTTATCTATCTATCGATCTATATGTGTGTGTGTATGTTGCAAGCAGTACCCAACTTCCTCAGCTCAGGCATACAACACGCTACACTTCACTGGTTGTCCTTTCTTTCTCTGTTATCTGGGCTGCAATGCTGTTTTAAAAGACGATCTCACTCACTAATTAAGTCATTAAAAGAAACATTCACACCCCTCGCCTGGATAGAGTGTGTTAGTGGATAAGAAGGACCAAGGTCACGGAGCAGATTATACGCGCCAAACATTCATTAAATGATTTCCTTTATTACCACATTACCTTTAGGCCACCACAGTATTTATGTTGTACTGAATAGTTTATTAATACAACCCCCCAACACCCATGTAGTTTTACTGTACGTACATGTATCATCAGTCTGATGTGATTAAACGTTGTTGTTTTTGTTATGTACATTTTCTCTCAGCCAGTTTCATTTATGTCTACTGTAGGTAATTATTTAATTCCAGAGTACATGTAGCTGTATGATCATTTTGCAGTAAACAGTAACCTGTAATGCAAAAGTGAAAGAGCATCGATTGATTATATTTCCTACCACCCACTTGATTTTTCGAAGATGATTTCCCTTGATCGCAGTGGGACACAACTTTTTGACACTTTTTTTTGCAGACTTAAGGATCCTAACAGATTAACTAGGAGTCAGCGATTCATCACCTGGCTGGCAGACACGTGAGTCCCTCATTTATCTGAATGTTTTAAATCCCTCTGTCCGTCTTTGTTTTAATGTGGAACACTGGGAATAATGCTGAGGCTTCATTACGAAATAATAATAAATACATTACTGTGACCATGATTAATGCAGACCCTTTACAGTTGTACAACTTCTCTCTAGCTTTACTTTTTTAGTTTCTCCCTGCAAATCTTCATTTTCTCTTGCAGTTTGCTGATGAGGAAAGCTCTGTTTGAGCATCTAACGGCCAGGGGAATACAGGTAAATCTGCTCTTATGTACCCTCTATAGTAGTCTTCACAAATGAGAAAAACGTCTATCTACAGATGATTGAATATGAAGCGGATGCAAATTGATAAATGCACATTGTGTAGGAATAATAATGACCAGAGGCCACTTTCATATTAAGTCAATTTATTAGTGTTTCTTTTGTTTTCATTCTTTTTCAAAGCTCCAAACCTGTTTACTTCATTATAAGGAGCTTCTTTATACAGCAGTATATCCGATGTTGACATGTGCATAGTTAAGAGCAACCAGTGTCATATACAGAATTGTGTCAAGGTTAAGTCTCTTTATCTGTAATACTTCCAAGAATGACATCGTATAAAATGTCCGAGAGCTGATTTTGTTGTAGTTACTGGGAAATGTTCAAGGCTCCTACAAGTTCAAAAATAGGCCAGAGTGGCTGCGGCTAACGCAGCTGTTAGTGCACAGAGACTTGTTGAGACATGTGTGACTCCCTCCTCTGTGTGTGTGCGTGTGTGTGTGTGTGCATGTGTGTGCATCTGGTTTCAGGTGTACATTTGGGTGCTGAACGACGAGGAGGACTTCCAGAGGGCGTTTGATTTGGGAGCCACAGGAGTTATGACAGATTTTCCCACCAAGCTTAAAGACTTCATGGACAGGAATAGCATTTCTAAGCCCCAGTGACCTGCCAGAATCTACCTCACTAACCCCCCCCCCCCCACACACACACACACACACACACACACAACCTGGCTGACCTGCCAAAAGAAGCCCCCCCCCCCCCAGATCTCTGTCATGTTCTGCACTGGTTTGAGGAACCAATTGTACAGATAACACAAATCTTATATGTATCGTTATCTCCTTTGAATTGTGTTATTTGCAGGTTCTTTGTTCCTTTGCTGCACACCTCAACCTCAATATATGACAGTTTTCTGTAGTACTGCGTTATGGTTTTAAGTATTGTGCTGGAAAAAAACAGCAGATGCAGTTTGACATTGCAATGTGTTAATTTAACAGCATCTTTACGATATTTTAAGGTCCGATTTATTTATGTTTTACAATCTGACTGCAATAATACACACATCAATATTTTTAGTGCGAGATGCAGCTAAAAATGCGCTAGATGTCAATGTGCAGACATGAGTCCTCGGCTGCGTTGAGATTTAGTTTAAAGTGAGCAGTGTGAGTACTGAGGTGGGTGGTGCCACTGCCCCATAGTTACAACTCAAGGGCACATTCAGTAAAAACCACTGTTTTATATGTTATTGTTTTTTAAAGACAATGGGTTGTATGTTGCATAGTTGTGTTGCTTAGACTTTATATCTTCCTCTGAATAACTGACAGAAGTTAAATGACTGACCTGTCATTTGTCGAATATGAGAGAGACATTATGCACAAAATAAGGAACTCCCCTCTTGTTTGTTTTAGTAATGAGTCGTAGTTTTTCTCACCTATGATGATGTGATTGTAAAACAGCATCGAGTTTTATATTTAAAAAATACGAACATTTTTAATGTGTGGGCTTTAAGGTGCAATACAGTAGAAGCACTGATACATGTTGATGGATTGCTTCATTGTTGTGACTTTAAATTGAAAGATGTTAAAGACACACATTGACGTGTGTCAACATTTTTAAAGTGTAAAGATCATTAGGATTATCGTACCGCAGACGTTCTCTAATCCAAACTTGTGACCACACCAAGGGTCAGTATTGAATGTAGTATGGGTTGAATGCATTGTATGTTGTTTGGTATCAGTCAAAACAGTATTGCTGTTTTTTGTTGTCGGGCATTTTGTATCAGCACTGAATGGTTTTCATGTGTGCACAGGAATTTGGTGACTGATATTTTACATTGTTTCAAGAACTCCTGTACATCCAAAATCATTATCCTTTGAGAGAAAGACTTGTGATCTACCAGTTATATTACAGATCTCACATCAATGAGTATACTGTAGAATATTTTGATTACATTACCTGTGGTGTACTGAGTGTACATGTGTTTTGCATGCCTAGGTGAATATATTTAAGCTATTGTGTTTGAATCTGTTGTGACTTTGACAGACCTGTCAAAATGCCTTATCGCACATGCAGTATGTAATTTGATTTGCTGAAGGATAATTGAAAAAGTATTTTTTTGTATCATTAAAAACTAAAAGACATTGTTTTATGATGTCTTCGACCACTTTATATAGATAGTATTTGTAACCACTCGCAGACTGACAGAAGGTGGCGCTGTAGACTAGAGGGATTTAACAAGTTTTCCTTGTAGAGGGAAAGTTAATAATGCTGGACATGTTTTGTCACATAAAAAAACGTCCTAACAGTTTGGTTCTACTCATTTTTCAAGAACAGGTGAGGTCTTTCGGTTCTTCCACTTGCTTGATGTTCTTTCATAAAACTACAGTGTCCATTCAAGAGAATTCAGTGAGAGATTCCAGTAAGATTATTGGTTACTCATTTTTCTCCTCGACCAATAAGCTCAATGTTGCTATGCCATTTTGGTTTCCTGATTGGCTGCTACGGCTGTCCATTTATTCATCATATCAACTGCCAGTGTGATTTTTGCCAAAGATCGTCAACTCGGCCGTCAAGAAAGTTCACGTCCTCCGAAGTATGCACTAATGACCTGTTGCGTTAATGGCTTAAATCTGTAGAAAAAGTGGTAGTGATAGTAACTGTTTGTTTAGCTACTGTCTGTGTCACAGCTTGTGAAAACGCGACCACGACACAAACAATAAACGCAACAAATTGTCATGGCAAACGTCAGTTGCTAGTCATACAGAGCATGCGCGACATAGTGTTTTGACAATTTTAGCGTGTATGTCTACGTTTTACAACATTATAGCCCTAAGTAACGGACGCTGCGAATCACGCTACTACACATCTAAATGAAACCTAAAGAGTCAGACACTCTTCCGTTCAAGAAAAGAAGATAGCGGTTTTTCAGCGAACACGGAAGTGGGAAGAAGTGAAGCCTCTTGCTCCGGCTGGCTGTTTCGTCACTCTCTCTCTCTCTCGCTCCATCTCCCTGCCTCCTCTAAACTCCGCTGGGTATTTTTGCGCGTCAAAACATTGCGTCTCTGCAGGACTTACCAGGGCCAGCGAGAAGAAGAAATTTGCCTGGGAAGGAATGCGAAAGGGGGTTTAGGATTGGCACTGCCACGAGGAAAACGAGGAGGTGCGACATTTTCTAGACTACGTGGAGATCCGCTTTTTCTTCCCCTCAGAGGTAAAATGATTTCCTCTACGTTATTTTTCAGTGTGGTGCATTTGTTGTCACGCACTGTTTTCATATTGGCCCATGAAGCTTATTTCTGCGTCGATATAGTGATGTACAGCTTGTCAAATACTTAACATAGGCAACTTTTAACATAGACTGCAGGTACCTATACATAATACAGTAAAACAACAAGTTTATGGTTTTGTTTCCCGTCAACATGCGTTGACATTGTCAAAAGTATTTTTTTAATGCCTGGACTGGTGTTTTCTTGGATGTGGATGGGATGCTGAGGTCTGCTTTGCAGTGGAGCTACAGTATCTGATGGTTATTATTAGGACACATGCTGTTTGTGGTGGCAGTCCTGCACGTATGCGCCATCATCTCCGTGCGCGCGCGCTTGGTCGTGATGGTGCACGTCAGCGTTGATCAATGCGGGTTATCGTGTATTGCGCTCATGTGATCATAAACTCTGACGACAATCACTTGACTCTCATCGATCTGTCAAAGTCATTGCAGACGTTAAAGGTTTTCAGACTGGGTGGTGCGTGCGTGCGTGCGTGCTTCTGTGCACGTGTGTGTGTGTGTTTTCACCGTTGCTGAGCTGAGGCATCCCCGCCATCTGTCCTCCGTGTGGTGGCTGAAGTTCTGCCCCAGATGAAGTGCGCCACTGCCTGTGACCTGATTCATACCACTAAATCACACTCACATAATGAACCCCTTAACGTGTTTGTGTATTTATTGATGTGTTACACAGGTGATCAGGCTCTAAGGTCACTCTACTATTCCATCCCATCTCACTGACAGTTAAGTAAGTGGAAATGCTGCATTTGACCCCCCCTCCCCCAAATCTACTAAAGTCCACCAGAATCCACACCACAACAGTTTGCAAAGACAACAGAGAGCAAACACTTTTTCTTTATTTTGAAAATCTATTTTCATTACAGAGCATGTATGTGGATAGTTATTGATCATGTGAGGATTCGATAGGCAGGAATCGAAGATGGTGTTCAGAGAGTTGCAGGCCTTGAAAGGTGATCCTTCACAGACAGGACTTGTGTACATAAGCAAAAGTGGTGTACAGTGTGTTGTGCCCACAGTTTCGCAGGGCTCTTTGTCACATCACCCACTTTGTTTTTTTTGTGGTTGCTTTTTTAATATGCTATTCACTGTTTATCATCTGACAGCCACACGCAATAGAAATCATGTGTGAATATGAGTTAGGAATATATAAGTTATACCCACAATGAACAAGCAAAATACTGAGCATTGAAAGCATGTTTCCTTCAGGTCTTCTATTAAAATTCTGTAAGGAAAAACACAAGTATAAGTGTCTGAAGCACCTTAAAACAAGCTGCCTTCCTCTCCAAAGAGGACAAAACAAGAGACAGACAGAAGAAAATTATAAGTGATTGCAGATAAAACATAGCAAACGTAACCAGACACCCACACCTGGGATGCAGGAGCATTGCTTCATCAGTGAGATCTGATATGGGGGTAGAGTTTTTTTCTCCTCTTGTCAGTGATGTCATGCTGCTGTATTGCGTTGGCCTTGGTTTAAGACTGAATGGAGAGCAGGATGAAGTACATGAAGTACAGAAACCGTGTTGGTGCAGCTTGTGGGCAGTATAGGACACGCAGCTCTTCCAACACTGTAGGGACACACACTGCTTCTTCCTTCTTTCTTTCTACCCATTCCCGTCTGACTCTCCAGCCCCCCACCCCCACAGCCCCTGTCTTTCTACTGCTCGCGATCATTGTCAGAAACAGCATCAGCAGCAGCAGAATCAGTGCGTTACATAACAAAGGTTTTTTTGTCGGGATACAAGGGCCCTTTTGGCTGTTGAGACTTGTGGCACGTAGCCCTTTGTGATGACACCCAGAAATGACCAGAATGGACAGCTCAGTGACCTCAAACGACCCGCGGCAGAACTGATGAATGGACAGAGCGGCAGCAGAGAAAAAAACAAATATACACACAGGCTGAGACGCATGGGGACAGACGGAGAGAAAACACACACAAGCAGACTGAAAGATAAACACCAAAGACGCACACTGAGGTTATGCCGGCACTCTATATTCTGACAGCTTTGATAACATTTTCTGCTGTTGGAGCCTGTGTGGATCGCTGCAATCAGTTCCTGTAGTCATCTGATCATTTATGCAATTTGTTATTCTGTCAAAGAGTTGTTTTTTTGTGTGTGCAAAGCAGCCCAGATAAACATCAGCACTCTGGTTCCCACAAACAATGTTAATTGTCATAAAATGTCAACAGCGTCATAGTCCAGCCTCTAAAAGCTAAAGCCCGTAGCTGCTTTCTCTTAAATATGTTGTGTACTTTATGTTCAGTGGCCTTCTTGTCTTTAGAGTTGCTTATGTCCTTTTTTTTCAACGTTGAAATAAACAAAATAAGCTTTTGATAATGTTATAATTTAGGCCTTCATGTTATATACAGTGTCAAAGAAATATCATGGCCAAATGCTTGTCACAGGTTCCCAGAGTCTGAAAATGTCTTGTTTTGTCTGTCCGTTAGTCCAAAAACCCAAAGATATTATATATTTGCAATCATAAAACACATTTTTAAAAAGTTAGTAAGAGGTTTTGGTTTTCATCCCAAGCCCCTCACATGCACTGGTGCTCTGCTGTTATAGCTGTAGTGAAGTGATTCTTCGGAGATAATATAACTCCACATGGATTATGTCTGACCCATGAAAAGATGTGTAACATGCAATACTGTAAACCAGCACTGCTGTTGACTGTCCATTAAGGACACGTTATTATCATGACACACTGTACATCGGTTAACTGTAACAGCATCCCACAGAGCCTTTCCTGTGATGGATAGGTTCTCGTCTACACATCAGATTTATGTGTTAGAGGTTTAGCTGGTACCTTAACCCTGAGTGACCTATAGCAAATGCTGGCTTGGAAGGAGAAGACACTTAAATTTAATATAATTAAATTTGAAGCTTACACTCCTAGATTTTACCTGCAGTGCCTTATACTAATTACTGAGCTGTAATCAGGCAACTTGTGCAAATTTGAGAGGTTTTCCAGATCAATCCTTTGGTCTATAAAATGTCAGAAAATAGTAAAAATAAAACATCTGTCACATTTTGTTAAAAGCCCAAACGACATCTTTGAATTGCTTGTTTTGTCTTATGAACAAAAATATATTTAATTTAATATGGTAGAAGACTTTCAGCAATCAAAAGTGAGGGCTTGTAAAAGTTTGCTGGACAATTTTTAAAATTGTTATTAATCCACTAATCTAATCTAATAATAATAAATATTTTGAACATATCTCTGGATGCTACATCAACGTCTTCCTTGTCCTTAGTCCTGAAATGGCCGTGAGGATAAAACATGCTTTGGGTTAAACATCAGGGGGTGTGTGTGTGTGTGTGTGTGTGTGTGTGTGTGTGTGTGTGTGTGTGTGTGTGTGTGTGTGTGTGTGTGTGTGTGTGTGTGTGTGTGTGTGTGTGTGTGTGTGTGTCAGGGGTCAGCTCTGACAACTGTACTGAGCGTGTCTTTGTGCCCCAATCCCACGCCGCTGGCACCGAGTCAGGGGAGAGAAAACAAGGGCACGTCTCACTGCCTTATTTATTTATATCCTCCGGTCCTTCCCATCAGCACTGGAGCCTTTATCAGCCTCCATCCAACACTAAAAACAATCATATTGCAGAGCAGTTAGGAGGCCTCTCACTCACTCTCTCCTGTTTGTCCTGAACTCACAGAGGTCTCCTGCTGCTCCCATTCAGTATTTTATTAGTTTTTCCAGATGGTTCAGTAAAGACAGACAGGAAGGAGAGGAGACAGAATGGAACTTGTAAAAATTAAGTCTTAACTTATAGTAGACACTTGAAATGATTTGTTTTATTTAGTTAGAAAGGTCATGTTTATTACTTAAATTAGAAATAGGCAGCTAGACAATAAAGGCTGTATATACAGTTTAGTGAGGTTCCTCAAAAACTTTATGAAAAGAAGCACTGGGGAATAAAACTAGATTAAATGTTGTGATATGTTTTGTTTAGCACCAGTGCTGAAATGGCAATTAAAGTTGCATTAGGTAATAAAACCACAAATGTTATAAGTGCACCACAAGGGAAAAGAGATCACAGGCCCTGAACCATATAGTTTCTCCTGTACAGTTAGTCATAGCATACTCCTGTCCTCCTGGCCCCAAGCCTCTGGGATGTGTTCCCAGGCCAGCTCACTAATCTCCTCAGTCACCAGGGCACACCAGCAGAAGTATTTTAAGGGCTCGGTCTATTTGATATCATGGAGTGAGCAGAGCACGATCCTCACAGTTGTGCTAGGCTAAGCAGATTATCTCTGCAGCCTCATAGACTTAAACACAGAATGTGAGCTAGCTGCATGTGTACTGTATTGAACCGGAGTCAGTGCAGAATGGTTTGACAACACGTTAATAGAGACAGCTGCAACAAATTATTGTTTTCATTGACAATTTTCTGCCTAATCAGTTAATTCATTAATTGTTGGGTCTATAAAATGGCAGAATATAGTCTTCAAGCTGCCATTTAAAAATGTCTGATCAACAGTCTGGTATAAAACGGAAAAGTAGCATATCCTCATTTGAGAAGCATGAACATGTCTACAGCTGAGTCAACCGCAATGCTAGCAGCTCTGTAAAGTTGTGCTACATGCAAATGTCAGTATGCTAACACTCTCACAACCAAAATGCTAACATGCTGATGTTTAGCAGGTATAGTGTTTACCATGTTCATTTTAGTTTAGCATGTTAGCATGCTAACATTAGTAACAGCTGATGGGTACGTCATTAGTTTTGCAGGTCTTAAGTCATAAACAAAATCTGCAGATAGCTGCAAGTTTAAATTTTGCCCTAATGGTGGCATCTAGAGGAAAAGTCAGTGTATCACCAAGTCAGTAGGATTCATCCTCTGAGAACGATGAATGTCTGTACAAAATGTCATGGCAATTCATCCTGTAGTTGTTGAGATATTTCAGTGTAGACTAGGGCTGAACAATCAATCGAAATTATTTCGAAATCACCTACGACCTACTTCAATTTTCAAATTGCAGGAGGTGCAATATTTGTTCAATTTGAAATGTGTTTTGAAAATACCATTTTTAATTGAATATTGTGGTGCTGCAGATACGTCCTGGCCAATCACATTATATTTTACCGACTTGAAAAAACTTCTTTGTTTGGTACACATCCCCCCAAAAATGCACCATAATCATTATGTTTTTTAATGAAAATGAGAATAATGATAATAATATCGCAAAGCATAGACCAATTGCAATATCAGTCAAATATTATTAAAATTAGTTTTTGAAAATCAGTTAAATATTATTAAAATTAGTTTTTCAAAATCGTTCCACCCTAATCTTGACCAAAGTGGAGGACTGACCAACATTTTCATCCCTAGAGCTACGCTGCTAGCGTGGCAAAATTTTACTAAACTAAGCAGTTATCAAAATAGTTATTATGAATGTTTGTCTGTTCCTGCTTCTGTAGCCCAAACTGTCCCCTCGATATGTGGTGGTGGCCTGAGTCTGGCTTATCCAAAAATGGACAAAGAGATGGAGCTGAGGCGGGACAAATGAAGCCTGCTTGCTGAACCACCTAGCGTCTAGCCACCTGAGAGAGCACCCACCTGTTGCTCAAAGAGTCCTGTCCTTAATTATGCATAATTTAATATAATTTAAACGAATAAGTTCAAATCTGCCAGTTGTCATGAAGGCGAAAATTAGCAATAGAGACAAAATAGTTTTTTGTACCAGGCTGTACATGTGTTTATTTCTCCTGTAAAGTTGGGCATTTTAACACGGGTCTGTGAGAGTGGCTTGCTTTTGGAGCCAGCTTCAAGTGGTCATCTGATTAACTGCAGTTTTTGGCACTTCCACGTTGGCTTAATTTTTCAGCTCCAGAGGTTCAGCTTGAACCTGAAATGTGAAACTTAATGACTAAGACTGGAATACAGGCTCATCAATAATGCATGATGTCTCGTCACAGCGTAGCTTTTTGAGGTTTTAAGAGTTTCACAGACGCAAGCAGGTTGGAGAGCAAAAATATACACCAACATTCACTGCTCCTTTATCCTCCCTGTGCTCAGGTGTTCACCTCCCAACCCACCGCCCACCACGGCCCTCACCTGTGTGTTGCGGTGCTTCCCCTGTGAGCCGACCTGGGCTGGCAGTCCCTTCTTGCACCGCCCGCCAACCCCGCCCATGGTCAGAATGACGCGCTCCAAGACCTTCCAGGCATATCTGCCGAGCTGCCACCGAACCTACAGCTGCATCCACTGCCGAGCTCACCTGGCCAACCACGACGAGCTCATCTCCAAGGTAACTGACGGCAACAGCGGCCCTCTACTCCGGTGACTTGACTCATTTTACCAACATTAGGACAGTACTTACATTCAGGCAGCTAATTATTACAGACTGAAAAAGAAAGCTGACTTGGGATTTGCAGGCAGATGTACTTTACTTCATGTTTTGTTTTATCACAGGTAATGTTGTTTTACTGCAAAAATAAGCAATTTTGTGTAGTATAGAATATAATTTATAAGGGTTGACAGCAAGTGACAGAGAATGGATGAGGAATTATAAAAATAAAAGCAGGTTGAACCCCTGGATGTCTGTCAGCCGCTGCCACACCGTTGCCTGTGGATGGATTATGTTATAAGCTGGCTTGTGAATTGGATTATGAATTCACTATCACTTTTTCCACATGTGATAATGAAAACATGCTCACCTGTACACAAAGGCCTTCTGCCAATCGTAACACAGCTGCACTACGTAAATCTGTTTAATTGCAGCTTTTGTGTTGTAAATAAAGGCCTGCAAGAAAAATAACTGCATTGCTAGTCATAAAGCTACTTATGCATTAGTCAACCCTGAGCCTATCAGCAGCACATTGGCTACACACTATTTTATAGTAGATATTAGAATGGATTTTGTCTGCAGGTTTTAAAATAAGAGCTGCTATTAAAGCAAAAGCCTGTCTTCAATCAGCATGTTGCCGTATTTATAAAGAAACCAAATCAGGGCTCTTATTTGATGGCAACATAATAGCATGCTTGTGTCATTTTATAGTTATTACACTGTATGAAAGGGTACATTCATGTTTAAGCCATTTCATCTGTGTCTCATCTTGTCTCTGCAGTCGTTCCAGGGCAGCCAAGGCAGAGCCTACCTGTTCAACTCAGTGTGAGTAGTCCACTTAAAAGCATTTCAACCCACCTGTTCGCAAATGGCTTTCGCAGTCGATTTTATGTGTTAGAAAAAATTGTCCTGCATGCTGGACTTAGCGCACATGCTGCATATTGTTCCACAGAGTAGATATGTTGTTTTTGAAGATGTAGACGGAACCAGCCTGTGGCTCGGAGCTCTGTGATTATCAACTGAATTGACTGTGAAAATTAGGCTGTTTGAATCTATGCTCCCCCCGCTGCCCTATCAGCATGCGCTGTGTGAGTGGGTGTAAGGCAGTGACTCACTCTGAGCACATCGTACAGTAAGCAACTTGAGCCACTTGCACAATACAAAATACTTTACTTTTGTCTCTGCTTGTGTCTCTCTACTTTCCTCCCCACAAACCCATTCTCCTTCTCTCAGGGTGAACGTCGGGTGTGGCCCTGCAGAGGAGAGAGTTCTGCTCACAGGCCTGCATGCTGTAGCGGATATCTACTGTGAGAACTGCAAGACGACCCTGGGCTGGAAATACGTAAGTGTCCTTGGCTGATTTGATGCACAGCACCACAAACTGCATCCAAGGTTAGAGGACGATAAACTGGGAGGCCCTTCTTATAGCACACCCTGATTTTATTAGCACCCTAATTATATTTGCACCTCCGCTTCTCTTGGGGTCAGTGCAGTGGTACGGCTGTGGGCTCAGTTAATTATGAGATACATTTTTCCAGACACATGGAGACAAGAAGGAGAAGTCTTTATCTTATGTGACCTGTGACGAGTATTTAATATTTTGTGGAAGTGAAAAACATCTGGTTTTCATTTCATTTGTCACTCAGACCTGAAGATTTGCATACATATATTCTTTAGGTTTTAACAGTAGATGTTGACTTATGCTGCAGTTCAAATTTCTGATTTCATCATAGCCGTGTTAATAATGATGATTTAAACTGTTTCAGAGTAAAAATAACATTGACAGCCTCACTGTGTAGCTTTGGCTAACATTAGAGCTACGTCTACAGTCAAGTCTCTGTGAAGCTGTGATAAATATGTCAAAATACATGTGCTGGATGTATTTAGTACAGGTGGTAAATTAGGTCTCAACATTTTAGAACTCAACAGGATCCACACATGTTAGCTGTCTTCATATACCAACAGAGCTGAGCATGTGCAGCTGTCACTGGTGAACCCTGTCAGCATGGAGGTGCGAGTTTACACTATAGGGCACGTGACTGCATCCTTAAGGGGTTAACACTCACACACGTACACACACAACATCCTTGTTGTTTTCCTTCATTGACCATCGCTCTTTGCCTACCCTCTAACTGTAACATTCACCGCTACGTGTCTAACCTTAAACCTGATTCTCTAACCTTCCAGCCTAAAAATAACAATTTTCCTTATGATGCCTGGTAAACACATGGTGGACCAGCTTCAAAAGTAGACACTTTTCTGGGTAGTTTCTATTCCTGTCAGGACCCCACAAGGCAGAGAAAACAGAGGTCACATGCACACAAGAGCACACAGACACCAGATAGGATGGCTACCATTAATATCAGCGGCAGCAGTATTGATTTTCTACAGCCGTCAAAGCTGTCAGCCGTTCTATTGAGAGGCTTGACCTACTGCACTTCTAAACCGAGAATCTGATAAAGCGCCTCTGCAGCCCTGAACCAAAATAACCAAAGACAAAACAAGGTACAGAAGAAAATGTGTATCAGCCTTCTCTCTGACACTGTTTTCAAGAGAGGCTTACAGTGAGTGAGTGGCTTTTGAGCAAGAACACAAGGTTGTTAATGGAAGCAGAAGTTGTCATTTTGTGAATGTTTTTTTATGGAAAAGATTTTTTTTAAAGAGCTGTGTCAAAATGAGTCCCATTATGAATTCGGTGTTTTTTTAAGGACTGTATAAATAGAAAATACATCCTTTAAAAAGAGTCTATGTTTCCAAAGAGACCTTTCTTAATTTGGGGCTTGGCTTTACTGCTTGCTGGTATTATTGTCAGTTACTGGGGACCAAAAAATCCAAATTTGGGTATATGGTAGGTGGAACTGGAACAAACTGAGGTTGGATTAGCAAGCAGCAGACGCCACAGCTGAGCATGATCACGTGGCCACCATGAGAGACATCTGTTCTTTAAAAACTAACACACTCCTGTTTAAACCTCTTTTAGTTGAAACATCACTTGAACGTTGTCATGCTAAAATGCTCACAATGACTATGCTAACATACTGATGTTAAGCAGATACAATGTTTACTATGCTCAGCATCTTAGTATAGCGTGTTAGCATGCTAACTTTTGCTCATTAGCATGACACACAAATTGCACTCACACAGCTGAGGCTGATCTGAATGACATTTGTTTTTCAAATATTTAGCCGAATAAAACCTCATAGTTTTAGCCATTAGAAAAACTTGCTTGCTTGCTTGGTGGGTGACACCTGGCGTCATGAATGTTGATATTTTGGTTTTTATTAACTTTTAGTCACTCTATTACTTGATTCGCTTACTGGTTTACAGTATCTCAATAAGCTAGGCAAATGACAGTTGCAGTCAACAGGAAAAAAAAATAAATACAGGGTGAAAATGAATAATTAAGATGATAGTTTATGTTACTTAATAGAATAACACTAAGTAGATCTAGAAAGCTTCTGTGCAGCTTTAGCTGACATTTCTTAGAAATCCCATTCATATTTTTCAGAGGAATTTTGGATTACACAGTTAACAGTAGAAATGCATGTTATAGCCTGCATAATTACAGCAGGCTACATCTGTGTTGGCTGCTGCGGGGCTCAAACCTGTGGCCTTTTGTTTTTTTGCAGTTTCTTAGTGGTGAGAGACACATTTCTGCCAAGATGTGATGATCCAGTCCAGTCAGAATTTTGGTTCTGCAGGCTGTTGTGCAGTGTTTAGTGACTGACGGTTATATAACCAGCTTCCAAAGAGCCAGTAGCAGACAGGCCAGGATTGAGTCAAGGATTTTCATATACAGCTGAAGACTGTCATGAGCAGTTTTCTAAGCTACGTACGTCTTTTTCAGAAATATTAACTTGTTATTATTATCCGTGGATCTGTTGTTAGATTTAAATGCTGTCTGTCTGCCACACCCTCCAGGAACATGCCTTTGAGAGCAGTCAGAAGTATAAAGAGGGCAAGTTCATCATCGAGCTGGCCCACATGATCAAGGACAACGGCTGGGACTGACGGACGAGCAGCCGGGACACGACCGCAACAGAGGGAAGGGGTGGGAGGGTGGGGGTGGCTGGATGACTGGATAGATGGAAGTGGGGGAGTGGCAGGGGGGTCATGTGTGGTGGTTGAGTGTGTGACTTTGGTTTGGCTGATTTACCATTAACCTCTGTAACTCTCTGCCCATCCCTCCCTGCCGCGCCTCTTGATGTACACACCAGACACACATACACACACACACACACACACACACACTTCAAGGCCCCTGACATCCCAGCTTGACAGAGAGACAGACTAGACAGACTTGGACGCAGCTAGCAGAACTAGGTGACCTGCCAGCAAGAGAAGATGTCTCACTTTCACGTTTGTTTTTTACTGAAACATGATTTGACAGCTCTTAAAAGGGCGGCAACATTTCTATACATGCTGGGAGACCTCTTCATTGTGTGAAGTATTCCAGTAATGTTAAAACCAGTTTTTAACAGGTCATTGGAAAATTAGCCAGAAAGAGGCCAGTTGGGCAGGCCTGTTGGGGTTCATTGGCCTTCGTTGAAGAGCTGACAGGCATTCACTCCGTCCTCAGCTTGAATGAGATGACCTAAGATGATTATAGCAAATCCAGCTGATCGGGGCCATGCCAGCTGGGCCAGTGATGAGGCCTGGCGCCGAGGCTTGGCACGGAGGCCTGAGCACATGGGTGTTGGGTTGTTGCAGGGGGTGGGTGCAGGGATTGCCTCCCCACCAGGCCGCTCACTCAACATGGTGGGGAGAGGACGATCCTGATCCACTTATGCGGTGGCTCTGATGGCTTCTTGCTAGGATCCATTCCATGTCTTGCCAGTGATGCAGCTCAGGATGGGCAGGGTGGGCTGAGAGTGAAAGAGATACAGACAGACAGCCACCAGCTTGTCCTAAAACCTCACAGGAATTTGCCCTCGCAGCAGCAAAGCAGCTCCCCCCGGGTTTTTATTCATCCTTCAATACAACAAGTCGTGTAAAGTGATCTGCTGATCCTTCCCGTGTACGTCTGGTGTTGGCGGACGCATCGCTGCGTCCCCCTTTGTCACATGGCCAGATAGAATTACACAACATAAGCGTGTCTCAGGTGAACAACTTTGGCTGGGATTCCCAAAGGTTTGCGAGCACTGTGAGCATCTTTCTGCTGTTGAAGGTTGATGAGCAAAGGTGACGAGGCTCTGCAAACTTGGGGTGGGGGGTGGGTTGGGGCAGCTAATGCTTAGTCAGACAAATATAGCCCCTGCTATCATGCAAAACAGTTTGATTTGAAGAAACTGACAAATTAATGGCCAATGCATGACTGGTTTCATGGGCCAAGGGCAAATGCAAATAGTAAAAACAAACAAAAAAAACACCAAAAGAAAGTTATTACTTTTACTGAAGTTATGAGGTATATACATGACCTCGGAGGTGTGTATTATAGATACATATGTATAAAAGGTAATACCTATCACTCGTACGCTCTCTTTCAGTCTGGGATGACTACTGTTCAACTGCTGTTACACTGATCTTAACTACCTGGCCTTCACAAAGCATTATAACAAACTTACTGGGCAACGTTCTAGATAGACCTACTTATTGTTTTGTACCAACAAATTTTAGATTATTTTACTTTTTCATATTTTGCTCACCTCTTAGTTTACTAAATATTCCTCATGCATCATGAGCCTTCGAGTTATGACATATGGTGATATGACATGATGGGTAATATTTGAGGCAACATTAATGGGAAGCATTGCTCAGGTACCCTGATGCTAACTTTTCTTTGCTAAAGCCAGGATCCTGCCTAATGTAATGCGTTATTCTCTGATGGAAATGTATTACTTTCAAATGAGAGAATCCATTACAGCTGCCATCTATCCCGTTGAAATGCAACGTTTATGCATGCATGAAGTAAAACCAGTGTTCAGAACACTTTTGAGCTTGTTCCTTATCACGTTTGTTTGTGAAAAGAAAATTTTGCATCTATTAAATTTGCAATGAAACCTTATGCTGTAATACAACATCACATCAGTTTCGTCTCAGTCCATTTGAGCTGTGAGATCCTTCTGCAATGGCACAAAAGCATCACAGATTAAATATGATCATGGCTTAGAAAGGTAAAATTAGTTGCCCTGTAGTTTCCCCTTGTTGCAAACATTGCTCAAGACGTTGCCCTCTATATGGAGAGTCCTAATCAATAATCTCCAGTTACAACCAAACCTAAACACATAACTCTTTTCAGTAACACGCAGCAGCTGAGTGCTCAGTCGGAGGCTGCGACATCAAACCCAGCACAACCAAAGAACCCACCCATAAACAATAAATTGACCAAACAAAAGATCTAATTTTGCTTGGGCAAAGTGTTGCAAAATAACTGGGTATGTATAGCTGAAAGCCAAGGTTGTGGATAGCCTTTCTCTGTCATATATATAATGCATTATGATTTTGTAAACAAAAGATCTTAATATATAAATATATTCTATTTACTGTATTCACCATGAGGATTACCATTCATGTCAACCTCTGTGTTACAGACTGTAAATAGTGTTAATGTATTGTGTTTTATCTATGATCCATACAATAATGAATGAATATGATTTAGGTCATGTCATGCTTTCTCTCTGGTACCCCACATTGGCTGTACAATACTACTTTTTTACTGAAAATGTTTCAATTTTAATGTCTTTTGTAAAGGAGGATGCTGATGTTGACTATATATCATTGGATCTTCATCTAATAAAATGCACCTTGATATCTGTATGGAATATAGAGTTTGTTTCTTCTCATGTAACTTAGACCTTGATATTGGGTGTCACGTGCTTTAAAGGATTACTCTGATGATTTAGCATCGCACCTTAATGAAGTTGTGCGACTCACAATATTTTGTAAAAAAATATATAGATGCAGCAGAGGCTGAAAAACACCAACAAGACTGGATGCTACTTTTCCATCAGAAAACTAAAGAGGGTCTTTTGTTACACCATCCCTGCTCAGTAAATTCCCGCATCTTTCAAACTTTACTATGTAACACTGGCTTTCTGTTTTTCAAGTCTGATTTCGAGATAGCCCTGGTGACAACATCAGGGTTATTATGCCTGTGAGACTGAAGCTTTTGCTGAACAGTGCTAACACATGCTAAATGCTGCAATACACAGCTGCCTTACAGAGACAGAGCAGTAACCTCACAAACAGTGAAGTTGTTTTGTTTGAAGACTCTTATCTAAAATGACATCTAAAGTTGTAAAACCATAATTTTATGCCTTTTTAGAGTGATTATTAATCATTGTAACACACCTCACATAAGGAAAAACATTTACACTCTGTGGTATGTTTGAACTAAGAGTGCAGGGAAAACGCAGTATCGACAAACTAAATGATTCTTTGTTAGCTCTTGTCAATTTGAAGTTTAATATATGAATCTTTAATTAAATTCATGTACATATGTGATTTAAATGTGGCTTAACCACATCAAATCTAAATCTAAAACTACTTTAATCTGATCTTTCTTTCTAGATTATGATTTAAGATTTAGCTACTGTTTGATTTATGTTTGTGGCACTGCAGACTTAATTACTAAGATATTGGAGCATCAAATCCATGAAACAGGACAAAGTGAGTAAATTAGCTTCAGCTAAGGCTATAAAAACAGCTAGCCTTAACTAGCAGGAGTACAGTCACAGCTGTTTGGTTTAACCTCTTTTCTGGTTCTTGTAACTTGTTTTTCATGCTGTTTTTTCCCCAGAAATTACACATTTCTATGGTATAATAATATTTATGGTACGGTATAATGTCAAAAAGTCACATTCAGGTGAATTCTGAACAAATATGCACTGTAGTTACGGCCTTTACAGGGCATTAATATATATAGTTAGCTAACATTAGTTGACATTAGCTATCATAAACTGCTAGTATACAATGTGGCTGTAGCATCAAGTGTTTTGAACTGAGCAGAACTATGTTTTATTGTTTAGAATTCAACTGTTTTCATCTGTGAACGTTATTTCTTCCTCCAAAAGTTATATTGTCTTGATTTGTAAGGCATCATGTGAAAAACTGAGAGTCCCTGTAAGAGATCAGATTGGATCTTCTGTGCATAGGCTGTTACAGCTTTGTTTGCGACGTAGATGTTAACCTTAGCTAATGCGTTTTTTTTGTAGATAGTAAGTGCGAATACAGCTTCAGCATAGCTAATAACATTCTTCCCTAATTATAACACACCAATAATAACTGCAATGGTGAGAAAAATCCATCATTCACACTACGCGTGATGTGGCTGTGTGAATTGTCCAGGCATCTTCAGATAACGTGGGCACAAAGCGTGCTGCGACTGAACAGTGATGTCTGATGGTGTCATTTTATTGTCCCCATGGTAACAAGTGCATCATTTGTTACTATGGGGGGGGGGGGGGCAGCTGCTTGGTTTCGCCTCCTTGGTTGTTAAAAAACAACAGTGGCAGCTGCTTGGTTTCACCTCCACTTGCGTTACATCTCACCTTAATACAGAAAATAACATAAAGATGGTGCTCATAATGTTTTCTGTGAAAATGGTGTGTGTGTTAGTGTGTGTGCGTGGAGGAGGGTTATGAGTGGGTGGTGTAAGAGTCACACCTGTTAGTCATACATTAATCAAGCTTCTCATCATGCTCACTTTCCTCTTCTTTCCTCCTCTGTTCTCCCTTCTACTTTTTTTCCACACTCCCCTCCACTCCCATATCTTATCTCATAGCCTTTCACCTTCCATTATCATCCTTTATCATCCCTTCCTCTCCTCCCTCTGTCCTCCCCTGTCTCTCCCTTTACTGTTGTTTCCAATGATCCTCCTGGGCTGATTTCTCTCTCTGTCCGACTTGGCTAACCCACTCCAAATCTCACTGCAGCAGATGGTGCTGTGTTTGCATTGGGCAAGGTCTCCTAGCAACTCCGTCTCTCTCTCTCTGCCTCTTTCCTAAAGCAGAGCAGCGGAGGAGTTGGTGTCATACACTGTCTGGGTCTGCCATGCCCACCCCTCCTCTGTCTCTTTGATTGACCAGACTGCCTGTCTGTATGTTTACGTCTGTACCTCTGTCTCTTTCTCGGATGCAAAAGTAGGGCAGAGGCTGGCTGTCTGGATAACTATACATGTGTAATGATTAAATTTGACGTGAAAACGGGCAAAGCAGGACACACACCGCTGTGCTTTGTAACCCTATATGACCTAGATTTTCTGATGTTCACATATGTTGTGACAGCAGGGAAAGATCACATCTGGGTCACCTAGGGTTTAATGAAAATTAAATCCACATTCATGGTATTTCTAGCTGCTAAAACCTGTAGATGTCTGTTTAGGTATTTTCTTGATCATCACAGGATCTAACATTTAAAAAGGTAATTACCACTGTGGGAGCCATACTCACATGCAATGCCGTAGATATAGTGCACCAGGCTACAACATACAATGCTCTGCCCAGACACACACACACACACACACACACACACACACACACACACACACACACACACACACTGACAGCAGGGCAAAAAAAGACTTGCATCCTAACATGGCATTGGTTCCTGTGCTTTCATGCTGCCTCTGGCCTGCGGACACACTCACTCACTTGCACACACAGTTGATCTGCATACATAAAAACATTACATATATAACATAAAATACATGTAAAACCCTTAGAGGCAATAGAGGACCTACAGCAGATAGAAGCAAACAATATATGAATATTATGTAAATCAATTTAAAGTTTTCAAAGTAAAAAATACACAGTGAATGTTTGTTTTGTTGAAACAAAACAATTACAGAAAAAAACTTAACTCAATCTTCAAAAGTAAGATACATAATGTGTAACTTAAAATAATATTAATGAATAAATTCACTTTTCCATTGTGTCTTATTACAGTAAGACAAGTGAATTCCTCAGTGTTGCTGGTTCTTGTCTTTTATCTTCAGCTGTAGAGTATTTTACAGCATGTTCTTGCCCTCCCCTTTTCACTTTTGTTTTTACCCTAAAATCTAATCTTCAACCCAAGATCTTGACCAAATCTTAAAGGAATAGTTAGATGAGAATATTAAAACCACTCTTATGTCTGTATGATGATATTAAGCTAAAGCCAGTTAGCTTATCTTAGCATAGCATTAGCTTAACATGTTATACCTAGTTTGTTTAATCTAAACAAAATCCAAGTATAAAAATGACACCAGAAGGCTAGCTGTTTCTGTAGCTTCCAGTCTTTATGCTAAGCCATGCTAACCGGCTTCTGGCTCCAGCTACAGTATCTCACAAAAGTGAGTACACCCATTACATTGTTGTAAACATTTGATTATATCTTTTCTTGTGACAACACTGAAGAAATTACACTTTACTACAATGTAAAGTAGTGAAAATACAGCTTGTATAACAGTGTAAATTTGCTGTCCCCTCAAAATAACACATCACACAGCCATTAATGTCTAAACCGCTGGCAACAAAAGTGAGTACAACCCTAAGTGAAAATGTCCAACTTGGGCACAATTAGCCGTTTTCCGTCCCCGGTGTCATGTGACTCGTTAGTGTTACAAGGTCTCAGGTGTAAATGGGGTGTGTTAAATTTGGTGTTATCGCTCTCACACTCCGTCATACTGGTCACTGGAAGTTCAACACGGCACCTCATGGCAAAGAACTGAGGATCTGAAAAACGAGTGGTTGCACTACATAAAGATGGCCTAGGCTATAAGAATATTGCCAAGACCCTGAAATTGAGCTGCGGCGCGGTGGCCAAGAACATACATATATCCACTCAGAACAGGCCACACCATGGTCGACCAAAGAAGTTGAGTGCACGTGTTCAGCTTCATATCCAGAGGTTGTCTTTGGGAAATAGACGAATGAGTGCTGCCAGCATTGTAGAGGTTGAAGGGGTGGGGGGTCAGCCTGTCAGTGCTCAGACCATACGCCGCAAACTACATCAAATTGGTCTGCATGGCTTTCGTCCCGGAAGGAAGCCTTTTCTAAAGATGATGTACAAAAAAGCCCGCAATCAGTTTGCTGGAGACCAGCAGACTAAGGACATGGATTACTGGAACCATGTGCTGTGGTCTGATGAGACCAAGATAAACTTATTTGGTTCAGATGGTGTCAAGCGTGTGTGACAGCCGGGTGAGTACAAAGACAAGTGTGTCTTGCCTACATTCACTTGGTCAAGCATGGTGGTGGGAGTGTGGGAGTGTCATGGTCTGGGGCTGCATGAGTGCTGCCGGCACTGGAAAGCTACAGTTCATTGAGGGAACCATGAATGCCAACATGCATGATCCCCTCCCTTCGGAGAGACGCAGTCGTGAGCCTGGCCTTCCTGTTGGTATGTGTGTGATTGTAGTTTTTTGAGTTCTTTTCCTCTTTGGTATGTTTGCGGTGTGCTTGGTGTGTTTTGGCTTTTCGTCTGTCTCTGTGTTCTGCTTCCTCCCTCATGCTCTGGGGCTGCTGGTGGGCGTGGTCACCTGAGCTCCAGTCAACTCACCTGAGACGCATCCTGTTAATTAAGCACACTGGTGTCTCATCCTGCAATTAACTAACCTTTAAAAGACCAGCTCAACCTTCCAGTCCCTGCCGGATCGTTGTACCATACAAATACCTGCCTGATCACGGACTCGGATTCTCGCCTGAGACACGGAACCCCTCCCCCCCGAGCATAGGAGCCTGGACCTCATGACCCTCGGAACGATCACCCCCCAAGCCACATATCGGTTCTCACTTGTGTTAAATAAATTCTCCCATTGAACCTACTCTGGTCAGTATTCCAA